CCAGCTTTTTAAACTTCAAATTTGAAAGCCTGCAAATGACCTTTTACTTTGTATTTTTTTGTATTACTAGTGAGATTCAAAATGTCTTGTGTTTATTGTGTTTTATCTGTATCCTTTGACCATTTATTGGGTTCTTTCTGTTTGTTATCAATTCTGTGTGTTGTTTATATAATAAAAATATTAAGCCATTGTCTATAAAACATTTCCCCAGTCTGAAGTTTGCCTTTCATTGTTGCCTACCATTTCAGAGTAGGGTAGGGTTTTCACTTTTTGAAAAAAAGTAAAAAAAAAAAAAAAAAGTAATAGGCCGGGTGCGGTGGCTCATGCCTGTAATCCCAGCACTTTGGGAGGCCAAGGCAGGTGGATCATGAGGTCAGGAGTTCGAGACCAGCCTGGCCAAGATGGTGAAACCCCATCTCTACTAAAAATACAAAAATTGGCTGGGTGTGGTGGTGCACGCCTGTAGTCCCAGCTACTTGGGAGGGTGAGGTAGGAGAATCACTTGAACCCAGGAGGCGGAGGTTGCAGTGAGCCAAGATCCTGCCATTGCATTCCAGCCTGGGCAACAAGAGCGAAACTCCGTCTAAAAAAAAAAAAAAAGTGACAAAAAGCAACAAAAGTTAAATTTGTTTGTTTGTTTTTGTTTTGAGACAGAGTCTGGCTCTGTTGTCCTGGCTGGAGTGTAATGGTGCAATCTCGGCTCACTGCAGTCACCCCTACCGGGTTCAAGCGATTCTCCTGCATCAACCTCCCAAGTAGCTGGGACTACAGGTGTGCGCCACCACACCTGGCTAATTTTTGTACTTTTAGTAGAGACGGGGTTTCACTATGTTGCCCAGGCTGGTCTTGAAACTCCTGACCTCAGGTGATCCACCTGCCTCAGCCTCCCAAAGTGCTGGGATTCAGGAGTGAGCCACCACGTCCAGCCAAAGAATTTTAAAAAATAAACCTGTCAGCTGGGCACAGTGGCTCATGCCTATAATCCTGGCACTCTGGGAGACCAAAGCGGGAGGATCACTTGAGTCCAGAGTTCCAGAGGAGTCTGGGCAACAGAGGAAGTAAAGACCCGATCTTTACAAAAAATAAAAAAATAAAAAAAATTAGCCAGGCACGGTGGTACACACCTGTAGCCCCAGCTACTCGGGAGGCTGAGGTGGGATGACCACTCGAGCCTGGGAAGTCAACGTTGCAGTGAGCCATGATGGTGCCACTGCACTCCAGCCTGGGTGACAGAGTGAGACTCTGTCTCAATAATAATAATAATTAATAAATAAAAGAATTGACGGAGATGTCTGCACTGTTTTGATATATTTTTTTTTTAAACAATACCCCTTTTCCTTGTGAACATTTGACTTTCCTTGGCTCACCATTTTTCTTTTTTTTTTTTTTTTTTTTTTTGAGATGGAGTCTCGTTCTGTCACCCAAGCTGGAGTACAGTGGCGCAATCTCGGCTCACTGCAACCTCCATCTCCTGGGTTCAAACAATTCTCCTGCCTCAGCCTCCCAAGTAGCTGGAACTACAGGTGCCCAACACCATGCCCAGCTAATTTTTGTATTTTTAGTAGAGATGGGGTTTCACCATGTTGGCCAGGCTGGTCTTAAACTCCTGACCTCAGATGATCTGCCAGCCTTGGCCTCCCAAAGTGCTGGGATTACAGGCTTGAGCCACCGTGCCCGACCCTTGACTTTTTTTTTTTTTTTTTTTTGAGACGGAGTCTCGCTGTGTCTCCCAGGCTGGAGTGCAGTGGCGTGATCTCGGCTCACTGCATGCTCCGCCTCCCGAGTTCACGCCATTCTCCCGCCTCAGCCTCCCAAGTAGCTGAGACTACAGGCGCCCGCCACCACGCCCGGCTAGTTTTTTGTATTTTTAGTAGAGACGGGGTTTCACCATGTTAGCCAGGATAGTCTCGATCTCCTGACCTCGTGATCCACCTGCCTCGGCCTCCCAAAGTGGTGGGATTACAGGCTTGAGCCACCGCGCCCGGCGACTCACTTTTTGATTAGTACCTTGAAATGTGCTCATTGGGACTGGGAGCTGCAGAAGGATGTATATGTATATGCATCCAAAAAATCTGGAAGAATTGTACTAAAAATGTGAACACTGGCTGTCTCTGGTTGGTGGGGGCCCAGCTGAGAGGGTTGTGTTATTCTTGCTTCCTTTGCACCCCTAATTCCTTTGGACAAGATACCTCTTCCATTCCTTATGGATGCCCATTACAGTACACTCACTCAATATAGCACTCTAATTCTCCTGGCAACAGTTTTGGAGGCCAAGGGGTGAACATGTCACTCTACCACTCAAGCAGAGCCAGAGTCCTTCCCTGAGAATGAGACAGGAAATTGGGAGGATGCTTTCCTTCTACTGTGTTTAATTGGAAAGCTGGGGCTGCCTCACTCCATGTTTCCTGCCAACTAGAAGACCACTCTGGAGAGAAAGAGGCCAATGTGTGAAGATAAATCAAGACAAGGAGAGAAGATAGAGAAAGCAAATCCTATGAGTACTACATCTCTAGTTCCAGTCTCCAAGCCCCTAATCCCTGGTGTCTTTCCTGCAATCTTGTGCCAGCTATTGTCAAGTAAAGATTCCTCGTGGATGAAGCTGGTTTAGGTTGGGATTCTGTCACTTGGGAAGTGAAAGAATCTTATCAGTTAGTCTGTGTGTGTTTTTAATATGTTATGGAATTTTCCTCCAATGACCATGTATCACTTGTTCAACAGAAATACTAAAAAAGTAAAGATAATGTGTTTGTTAAAGAAAAGAAAACATGAGTGCTCTCAGAAATGCTCAAAAGCAGGAAAAATGTAAAGTACACCATAGAAGTTGCACAAGTCAACTGGCACAGTGGCTCATGTCTGTAATTTCAGCACTTTGGGAGGCTGAGGCGAGTGGATCACCTGAGGTCAGCAGTTCGAGACCAGCCTGACCGACATGGTGAAACCCCATCTCTACTAAAAATACAAAAATTAGTTGGGCATGCTGGTTCACGCCTGTAGTCCCAGCTACTTGGGAGGCTGAGGCAGGAGAATTGCTTGAACCTGGGAGGCGGAGGTTGCAGTGAGGCGAGATGGCACCATTGCACTCCAGTCTGGGCAACAGAGGGAGACTCTGTCTCAAAAAAAAAAAAAAAAAGAAGAAGTTGTACAAGTCCTCAAAAGGACAGAGGTCATCTTATCACCCAGGGGGTGTTGTCATCAAGATGAACAGGAATTTGTGGTAAAAGAACCCCTAGCTCAGTGGGTGTGCTTGGCAGGTATAGGGGAGAGTGGGGGCTCAGCCCTGAGCAGGAAATGTATTTTTCCATGAACTACGGAGTCTGAGATACTGAGATTTGGAAGAGGGATCCCTTAACGCCTCATCCCTGGCCAAATCAAGTCCTGTCTCTGAGCCTCAGTTTACACTGAGTCTAACTCTCATGTTTTGAATAGTGTTCTAGGCACTTCATGTCATTATCTCATAGAATTCTCAGAACTCTGAGTCAATCATCAATATTACCATGTTCCTGAGTAAGGAACTGAGGTTCCGAGAGGCAAAGCTTGATCAGATCAGTTAGACTCCAAAGCCTTTCTAGGAACCTCAGCTATCTTCCTCTCTCATCTGTAAAATGTGCATAATAAATTGGCCAGGTGCAGTGGCTCATGCCTGGAATTCCAGCACTTTGGGAAGCTGATTGGGGAGGATTGCTTGAGCCCAGAAGTTTGAGACCAGCCTGGGCAATATGGTGAGACCTCCCATCTCTACAAAAAATAAAAAAGTTAGCCAGGTGCGGTGGCATGCACCTGTAGTCCCATCTACATGGGAGGCTGAGGTAGGAGGATGACTTGAGCCCAGGAATTTGAGGTTGCAGTGGGCCATGATCATGCCATTGCATTTCAGCCTGGGTGACAAAGCAAGACCCTGTCTTTAAAAAAAAAAAAGAAAAGAAAAGAAAAAAAGGAAAGAGAAAGAAAGAAAGAAAAGGGAAATGAGTTGGGCCTAAGCACTGTTCTCTCCCCATCCGCAGCTGGACAATGCAGGAATTCAGGAGTAGGGAGTGGCACTTGGGGATCCTTGGAGGTGGAGTGGGGTCTCAAGCACCATACCTCCACTGGCTGCCCCCAGTCCAGCCCCATCCCCAATTCCTGCGAGTTGCTCCCTCTGCCACCCGCACCAAATTTCTTCCCAAGGAAGGCCTTGTGCAAGTCAACCTTTGGCCGCCTGCCTGCTGTCCTAGTTGCGGGCTCTGTCCCCCACCTCCCCTAACCTGGCCCCTAGCCATCAAACCCTGGAGCCCGGCCAGTCACGTGATATATCGGTCCTTTTTGGCCTGTTTCCTTTAGGATCCCGACTTAACTTCCTCCTCCCCACTTCCCTCTGCCCCCAATACCTCTGGGCACCACCATCCGCTCTGAGGAGCAAGTGTCGGGCTGAAGCCTGGGCTCCGCTTGCAGAGGAACCTGGGCCTCAGTCTTCCCACCTGTCAAGTGGGGCCCCCACCCTACACCGCCTTCACTCTCTTCATTGCCTAGTCTTGCCCGGTCTTTTCCCACTCCCTCACTCCCCCGTACCCCACCAGACTCCCATGCAGTTCCGAGGACCTGTTTCCCTCAGGGCACAGGAGGATTGGGAGAGGCGAAGGACGACAGAGCCCTAAGGGAGGTCGCAGAACTGGTCTGAAAGAGAACCCACCAGGCCACAGGGTGAGTTTGGCCGGTCTCTAGCTTCAGACAGACGGGGTTCAAATCCTGCTTTGCTTCCGACCACCTGCTGATTTGAAAATCATCTCTCTGGGCCTCAGTTGTCCCCTCTGTGAAATGTAGCCCCGCTTAAGACCAAGGGCGGGAAGCGTCTAGCAGGAGATCTCTGACCAGAACTAGAGAGCTGGCCTCCACCCGTCCGCTTCCCAGCCTTAGAGCGGCGCCTCGCCTCCCAATCCCGGGTCCCTCCGCCGCAGACTCCTCCTCCACTGACATCAGAGCCGCAGGCGGGCGGAGAGAGCCGCCGAGCCCAGCCGAGCCGAGCCCCAGCCCCAGCGAGAGAGCGGGCGGGTGGCCCAGGCGCGCAGCGGTGAGGACCGCAGCCAGAGCTCGGCGCCAACCACCGCGGGCCTCCCAGCCAGCCCCGCGGCGGGGCAGCCGCAGGTACAGCCGGCCCACCCACCCCTGCACACCTGGGCGCTGCGGGGGGACGGTAGGAGCCCCTAGCCTCTGGGTATCCTTTCCCAAGGAGTGGCCACTGGGCACCCTCCCGGGCGGGCTGGACCCTGAGGGGCAGGCAGGGCTGGGCCTTTCTCCTCCACCTCTGCCCCAGGCCCAGCAGGTGCCAGGCAGGCCTATGGGACACTGATTGGGTAATAGAGAAGGGGGCCTGTGTGAGCGCCTTCAGCTGGGCCTGACTGTGGAAGGGCGTGGGCATTTGGAGGTATCCATGGGGGTGGGGGGGCTTGTGGAGTGTACAGCCTAGGACAGGCATGTGGGTCAGACATGGGTGGGGGATCTGGGAATCTGTGTGTTTTTTGTTCCAGAGGGGTGTCCACGTGTTTTGTGTGCTGGTATTTGGCTCTCAGGGTCTTAAGTCAGAGTTAGGAGGGGGTGTACAATTGTGTACTGAGGATGTTTGGAGTTAGGTGTGTAAGGAGTTGGGGTTTGGTTTGGAATATAGGAGCTTCAGGGGATGGGATAGAGGAGCTGGAGGGTGTAGGGTACGTCTGGTATATGAGGGTGTGTGTGTGTCTAGGTGTCATCTTGTGTGGGTGTGGGTGGATGTGTGTTTTGGGGTGTAAGAGGGAGCTGGGTGAGAGATGTTTGGATGGACAGGCAGGTGCCCGGGTGTAGGGCTGTCTGGGGCACTGTGTGGTGTGGACATGTGTGCTGATGTCTGGGAGTACATGTATGATCAGGTGTCCCAGGATCTGGATACGAGGCATACTGGATCTGGGAGGCAGGTGTTTTTGAGTCCAGGGCTGTGGAGTTGGCTTGGTGTGGCGTGTCTGCTACAGGGATGTGTGTGGATCTCTGACAGTTGTATTTGGTAGGCCTCCATGTGGGTTTCAGACTTTGCCTCTAGAGCTCAAGTCGCCTTTCCTAGAAGATTCTGCCCCTGGGATGGGTGGGCAGGGTCCCCTGGGAAAAAGGTCCTGTTCCAGGAGTGGAATCTCACGTCAGAGGCCCTAGTCAGGGCACCTCTCCTCATTCTCCCTTAGAGAAAAAGAGAGAAGGAAAGTCCTCTCCCTGAGGTCACAAAGCATGCTAGGCTCTATTTTGGCCTCATCTTCTGTGGATGGGTTGGGAGGCTGTGTTTTTTGAATGGGGCCCATTCTGGCTTCATATTGGAAGTACCAGCCAAGGCCATTCCATGGGCTTTGCCCTCAGCAAGCTTAGCTGGGGGCCCCAGGCCAGGTGTCATTTGGGCCTCTGGAGCCAGCCTCTACCTAACTCCAACCTCAGTCTCCCCATTCTTCATCTGATAAATGGGAGAGAACTCCCACCCTCTCCTGCTGGATGAGACAGACCTCAGCAGGGGAAGGGCCTGGCTGGATAGGGTTAGATGGGGCCAGGAAGGGACAGAGTGACTAGGACCATTTCTCAGGCTCCTGGGACCCAGATGGGGAGTCAGGAGGGAGAGGTCTGGGGAGCTCCAGCTGTGGCTGTTGTTGCTGTGGGAACAGTGCAGAAAGAGCTATTTAAAAACGTGGCTGAGATATTGCTGGAAGCCCAGGCTGCGGGCCGGTTGGAGGGGGGGTGGGGAGGAGGAGGGAGAGGAGACACCCCAGCAATCCCCAGGGTGGGGTGGGGACATCACTAGTTCTGGGGACAGGGGGATCCTCCAGGCTTCTACCAGCTGCTCTGGTGGTTTATCTGTTGTACTACCAGAGGTCAGGGTTTCCCTGGGTGCTTGGATTTGGAGAGGGGGAAAACTGGGAAGTGAACTAGAATAAATGAATGAATGAATGAATGCATGACTTTGTTAAATAAAGAATTTTGCTGCCACTGTGAAAGGTTTTTCTCTAGGCACAAGAATTTGCCGAATGTTGAATAAACAAATGAATGTTTGTTGAATGATTTTGTCAAATGGATGAATCAAGGATGAATAAATGCAGGTTGAATGACTGAATGAGGCCTGTAGCAAATTCCCAGACAGAATGCTGGGCTCTGCTGAGTCTCCTCCTTCCATTCTCCTTGCAGGAGCCCTGGCTGTGGCCGGGGGGCAGTGGGCCATGCCGGGGGCAGTGGAAGGCCCCAGGTGGAAGCAGGCAGAGGACATTAGGGACATTTACGACTTCCGAGATGTTCTGGGCACGTGAGTCCAGGGCAGGATTGGGTGCTGGATGGCTGGGGGAGGCTGAGTCCAGGGTGGTGCTTCGTCTGGTCAATTAATGCTTCCTGTTTCCCATAGCCCAGGCCCTGTGGCAGCACTATCTAGGGCCTAAACTGTCCCCAGCTTTTCACTTCTGGGTGGGACAGGGGCTGCTCTTCCAATAGCCCTGGCTTCTTGAAGAGAAAGAAGTTGGGAGAATGAAGGTGCCAGTCAGTCCATCTAACTTGCTGCCAAGAGCTAGGTGTTCTGGCCTAGGTTTGGGAACTGAGGCTGGGGATGGCTCTGTTCTTGGTGCTGGGAATGCAGAAATAACTCAAACCTGGTCTCTGTCCTTCAAGTTGATCCCAGACATGTGCAAGAGACAGACCCACAGAAAATGACAACAGGGTGTGTGCTGTGCTCCAATTAAGGTTGGGATTGAGGGCTTTGTGGAGCCCAGAGAGAGCTGTGCCTTCTGCCTGGGGGGAAACTTCGTGGAGAATGGGGCATTAGAGCTGGGGACTGAAGGATGGGTAGGTGTGCACTTGTGAGAGAGGAAGAAGGGCATTCCAGGCAGAAGGAATCCTATAAACAAAGGTTTAGAGGCATGGTTCTATGTGGAAAGAGGCAGAGTGTGGTGGAGCTTAAAATCAGAGGCTGGGGAAGAGTGGGAAAAAAGGCTGGAGATGAAAGTGGAACAGTTTGTGTAGGGTCTTGGAAGGCAGGTCAGGGAGGCTAGATATTGTTCCATAGGCCACTGGGAGACACTTAAGACTTTGGCAGGTGTGCAATTCAGGACAGTCACTCTGGCCACAGCTTGGAGGGTAAACTGGAGAGGGACAGGACTGGAAACCAGTGATGAGGTTACTACAGTAACTATCCCTGAGGATTGAAATTTCACCATGAGAGATGCCTTTCTTTGACTTACGACTTCTTATTCTCCCAGAGAAAGCAAACAGATATGGAAACAATACCCTAGTAAATCCTCCTTAATCAGTTAACTTTAGTTAAATGAGTTTATTTGTTCCTTTTTAAGAGCTTGTTTTAAAGCACTGCTTCTTAAAGTTCAATGAGCATACAAATCACCTGAGATTTTGTTAAACTGCAGATTCTGATTTAGTAAACCTGGGGCAGGGCCTAAAGTTTTGCATTTCATTTCTTTTTTTTTTTTTTTGACCTAGGATCCAAAGCAGTAGAGATTTTGCATTTCTAAAAAAGTTCCCAGGTGATGCTGATGGTTCTTTAAGGTGTTAAATTAGCCATGACTCAAATTAGCAGAAAAAGGGATGAACCAACTGCACACAAAATCAAAAAGCTCAGAGGTAGACTTCAGGCATGGCTGGATCCAGAGGGCCACATAATGTTATCATGAAATGACTTTGGCCATTTCTCAGGTTGGACTTCCTTTGTGTTAATTTCATTCCCAAGCAGGCTGTCCCCAAGTGGTGACAAAGATGATCATCATTAGCTCCAGGCTTACATCCTACCAGCTCAGCAGCAGCCTCATTCTTAAAGAGCTAGGAATCTGGCTTGCATCACATGACCAATTACTGTTACCAGGGGAGAGACTACTTTGGCCAGGCCTGGGTCATGTGACCATCTCTGGAGCCAGGGGATAGATGAGTGACTAGGAGAGGGTCATCCACATCCCTGGTCCAGCAGTGGTCACAGAACCCATAGGGAATGGAGGAGAGGCTGGAGGGAAGCTGGGGTTCCAGTTCTTCACCTTATGAATCCCCTCTCCCCATAGGGGGGCCTTCTCGGAGGTGATCCTGGCAGAAGATAAAAGGACGCAGAAGCTGGTGGCCATCAAATGCATTGCCAAGAAGGCCCTGGAGGGCAAGGAAGGCAGCATGGAGAATGAGATTGCTGTCCTGCACAAGTGCGTGGGCCACAGCCTTTCCCTGCCCCAAGCTGACCCTGCCTTGGCCCTCCCATCCTCCTCCTTCCCTGCTTTGGACCAAACATTTAAACTCTCTAAGCCTTAAATTGCTCATTCATAAAATGGGGATCACAATTTCCACTTGGCAGGGTTGTGGGGGAACATCAGAAGTCCTTTATTTCAAGTGCCTGGCACAACAGCTAACACAACAGATGTGATGGAGATGCCAGGGCTTAGTAACAGGGGTTTAACTGTTCAATCAGGTGTAAAGATCCATCCTGAACATGACTTGGACCCACATATCTCAGTTGGTGTTGTCTCTGGACCTACCTCAAGTTCCCCTAACATATTAAAGCCACTCAGCAAGTTTAAAAATGAGTCTCTGCTGACCCCCTGACTAAATCCACAACCAGCTGGTCTATGAATTGCTCATGCTGGTATGAAACCTCCTGTCCTCACTGGAAAACTTGCAGAGAATCACTGCTAATCTCTCCCCTGAGCTTCCAACCACCCTGGGCAGATAATGGTTTTTTTTTTGAGATGGAGTCTCACTCTGTTGCCCCGGCTGGAATGCAGTGACAAAATCTTGGCTCACTGTAATCTCTGCCTCTTGGGTTCAAGCTATTGTCTTGCCTCAGCCTCCCTATAGTAGCTGGGATTACAGGCACCTGCCACCACGCCCGGCCAATTTTTGTATTTTTAGTAGAGATGGGGTTTCGCTATGTTGGCCAGGCTGGTCTCGAACTCCTGACCTCAGGTGATCCACCTGCCTCGGCCTCCCAAAGTGCTAGGCATGAGCCACCGCACCCAACTCCTGGGCAGAGCATTTCTACTGAGACCCAGAGAAGACAAGGGATTTGTATACGGTCACATGGAAAGTTTGTAGCAGAGCTAAACTTACTTCATCATCAAGATCAATTATTGTCTGACCAACAAGGAGAAACCCTGTCTCTACTAAAAATACAAAATCAGCTGGGCGTGGTGGCACATGCCTGTAATCCCAGCTACTTGGGAGGCTGAGGCAGCAGCATTGCTTAAATACAAGAGGTGGAGGTTGCGGTGAGCCGAGATCACGCCACTCATTGCACTTCTGCCTGGACAACAAGAGCAAACCTATGGCTCAAAAAAAAAAAAGGCCAGGTGCGGTGGCTCACGCCTGTAATCCCAGCACTTTGCGAGGCTGAAGCGGGTGGATTGCCTGAGGTGGGGAGTTCCAGATCAGCCTGACCAACATGGAGAAACTACGTCTCTACTAAAAATACAAAATTAGCCAGGCATGGTGGTGCATGCCTGTAATCCCAGCTACTTGAGAGGCTAAGAAAGAAGAATCCCTTGAACCCAGGAGGCAGAAGTTGTGATGAGCCAAGATCATGCCGTTGCACTCCAGCCTGGGCAACACTCCAGCTGGGCTACAAGAGTAAAACTCCGTCTCAAAAACAAAAAACAAAAAACAAAAGAAAAAAATCAATTACCATTACTGTTTCACTTACGAGTTTTTTGTTTTTTGTTTTGAGACAGTCTTGTTCTGTCACCCAGGCTGGAGTGCAGTGGCGTAATCTCTGCTCACTGCAAGCTCCACCTCCTGGGTTCACACCATTCTCCTGCCTCAGCTTCCCGAGTAGCTGGGAGTACAGGCGCCCACCACTATGCCCGGCTAATATTTTTGTATTTTTAGTAGAGACGGGGTTTCACTGTGTTCACTAGGATGGTCTTGATCTCCTGACCTCGTGATCCGCCTGCCTCAGCCTCCCAAAGTGCCGGGATTACAGGCGTGAGCCACTGCGCCTGGCCCACTTATGAGTATTTACTGTGTGCCACGCGCTGTGCCAAGCACCTTACTTGCATGATCTCACATGATCCTCACTCCAACTCTTTGAGGGAAGTACTACCATTGGCTTTATTTTATAGATGAAGAAACTGAGGCTCAGAGAGGTTACATTAAATCTAGCACCTACCCTGTACCAGGTGCTGGAGGAACAGTGGCATGCAAGACAAAGCCTCTGGATTCGGGGAGCGTATGTCTGGTAGGGGAGGCTGACAAACATGTAAACACAGAAAGTTATTTTATTTTTCATTGTTTTGAGATGGAGTTTTGCTCTTGTTGCCCAGGCTGGAGTGCAATGGCATGATCTCGGCTCACCGCAACCTCAGTTTCCCAGGTTTAAGCAATTCTGCCTCAGCCTCACAAGTAGCTAGGATTACAGGCACGTGCCACCGTGCCCAGCTAATTTTTGTATTTTTAGTAGAGATGGGGTTTCACCATGTTGGCCAGGCTGGTCTCAAACTCCTGACCTCAAGTGATCCACCTGCCTCAGCCACGCAAAGTGCTGGGATTACAGGCGTGGGCCTCCGTGCCCAGTCAGAAAACTCTTAACAGGCATGTATCAGGCTGGGTGCAGTGGCTCACTGGTAAAAAGATCAGCATCCATATAGCATGTGACAGGGACAGGATTTGGACCCAGGTCTGTGTACGCCAGAGCCCAGTGTTTATCCCTCTGCTCTCTCACCTTCCAAGAAATAGTAATAAACCATGGTAAGCCAGCTTTTCCCTTTGGGGCCTACATCCTTGGTTTGTCCTACCCAGGTTTGCAGGCACTTGGTCGGGGTAGCTGTCCTGAGCTCTAAACCACTGCTTTTTTTTTTTTCTTTTGAGACAGGGTGTTACTCTGTTGTCTAGGCTGGAGTGCAGTGGCTATTCACAGGTGCAATCATAACAGACTGCAGCTTCGAACTGCTGGGGCCAAGTGATCCTCCTGCCTCAGCCTCCCAAGTTTAAGTAGCCTGGACTACAGGTGCACACCGCCATGCCTGGCTAAACCACCTCATTTCTCCTTTCAGGATCAAGCACCCCAACATTGTAGCCCTGGATGACATCTATGAGAGTGGGGGCCATCTCTACCTCATCATGCAGCTGTGAGTGGCCCCACCTCTGCCCACCCCCACACACCTCTCCCTGCTGTCCCCACCCTCTTTGCCAGACTGCCCTATCCCCTGCTGCAGGGTGTCGGGTGGGGAGCTCTTTGACCGTATTGTGGAAAAAGGCTTCTACACGGAGCGGGACGCCAGCCGCCTCATCTTCCAGGTGCTGGATGCTGTGAAATACCTACATGACCTGGGCATTGTACACCGGGATCTCAAGGTGGGGCTCGAGGGGGTGTGGTGAGCTGGGGTACCCAAGGGTGGGGCCTTTGCAAACCCCAAACTGTCCGACCTTGGGCAACTTTCACCCCCTCACTGAGCCTTGGATTTCCATCTACAAGTGGATCTTGTAACCCTTAAACTGCCTCCTCCTATTCTAGTCCAGATACTCAAAAGAACACGAGTGAATTGTGCTGGCATTTTATCCAAATAACATTTTATGTATTTTTCTGATTTAAAAAAAAAAATCTGACCAGGCATGGTGGCTCACGCCTGTAATCCCAGCACTTCAGGAGGCAGAGACGGGTGGATCACCTGAGGTCAGGAGTTTGAGACCAGCCTGGCAAAACCCTATCTCTGCCAAAAATACAAAAATTAGCCGGGCGTGGTGGTGGGTGCCATCCCAGCTACTAGGGAGGCTGAGGCAGGAGAATCACTTGAACCCAGGAGGCGGAGGTTGCATAAACTGAGACTGTGCCATTGCACTCCAGCCTGGGCGACAGAGCGAGACTCCATCTCAAAAAATAAAAAAAATTAAAAAAAAAACAAAACAAAAATCCTATTCCCCTTTTGTAGAAAACTTGGATGGGACAGCAAAACATAAAGAAAAAAGCCAGAAATCCCTGAAATCCTGTTCCTCAGAAATAGCGATGGGGCTCACATTTAGCAGTACATCTCAATCCGGTCTAAGAGAAGGGCACATGCCTGGCTTTGAATTCTGGCCCTGCTACTCCCTAACTGTGGGTTCTTGGGTGAGTCACTTTGCCTCCAAAGGCATCAGTTTCCTCATCTGTTAGGTGGGATTATTCAGACTGGCCTAGCAGGGATGCAGTGAGGATGACATGAAATCAAGCACTAATCCAGGGTCTGGCATAAAGTAGGTATTCAAACATTTCTTTAGGGCTTTACAGTGCACACCTGAGGTTTACAGAAAGTTGCCTCCCACACCCTCTTGGGCCTTGTCCTTCCTGGAATTTTTGGCCTTCTTGAGAACTTTCTTGATTTTCTTATGGCAGCCATGAAGCCACAGTGGCTTTTGGGGGATCCATTATTTCTCAGAAGGTGCTTGGAGAGGCAGAAGGTTCTACTAGCCTCTAACCATCTGTGATTGCCCCTTCCCTTCCCTCCTGCCCTTCAAGCCAGAGAATCTGCTATACTACAGCCTGGATGAAGACTCCAAAATAATGATCTCCGACTTTGGCCTCTCCAAGATGGAGGACCCGGGCAGTGTGCTCTCCACCGCCTGCGGAACTCCGGGATACGTGGGTGCGGAGGGCCCTGGGCTGGGGCTGTGATGGTGGGGGGAACCAGGAGCTGAAGGGCAGAGATTTGTCACCACCATGTCCTCTTCCCTCCACAGCCCCTGAGGTCCTGGCCCAAAAGCCCTACAGCAAGGCTGTGGATTGCTGGTCCATAGGTGTCATCGCCTACATCCTGTAAGTGGGGCTTGGCCATGGTAGGCTATGGCTCCAGAGTTTGTCCTCTGGCCTGCTTTCCTCTCTTCCTCCCTCTGCTTCCCTTCCCTTCTTCTCTTCCCTTCTTCCCTTCCTTCCACCAATCAATTATGAATATTACTTCATTCAATAGATACTATGTTTCAAGCACTGTGCCAAGCAAGCACTGGAGTAAATTTAGCACAGAACAAACCAGACAAAGTGCCTGCCCTCAGGGAGCTGACTTTCTTTCTAGTAGAGAAGACAATCAACAAGTAAATAAATCTACAAAATAACATCAGGTGATAAAAATACATACTGTGGAGAAAAACCAAGGAGGAATAGGGAGACAGGGGTGATGCCATTTCAGTAGGGAGGTCAGGGAAGGGCTCGCTGTGGAGGGGATGTCCAAGTGCTAAGGGAGCCAGACATTGGAGGTGTGAGGAAAAAGTATCATAGGCAGAGGCAATGGCAAGTGCAAAGGCCCTGAGGAGGGCAAGATGGCGGTACATTCAAGGAAGAGAAAGGACAACATAGCTAGAATGGGAGTGAGCAGACAGGGCTGGTAGAGTTTATAAAGGGGGAACTCCTTCCGTGGGTCCTGCCTGACCCCTGAGACTGCCCCAGTGCTCCACCCCGGAGTCAATGGGTACACCTGAAAGTGGAAATGAGGATAAGTTTCTCCCTGCCCAGGCTCTGCGGTTATCCCCCCTTCTATGATGAGAATGATGCCAAACTCTTTGAACAGATTTTGAAGGCCGAGTACGAGTTTGACTCTCCTTACTGGGACGACATCTCTGACTCCGGTATTTGGGGCTTTGCCTTTTTCCCCTGGGCCCCGCCTCTGGTCCCTCCCTCACCTGCTTTGGGGGCGGTCTCCCTCCTGCCTTCCTTCTGTCGGATTCTCCAGTGCCACACTAAGCTGTCTTCAAGACCAGACACCCTACCCTGGGTACTTCCTTCTGCTTGGCTCCCAGAGTGAGAAACTAGGCATTTGTTCAATCTTCAAACACAGTCTATTTGAAAATACCTCTTCCCTATTGACTTCCTGATGTCTAAAATACCACCATAAACATTTTCATCCTCCTTTTGGGCCCCCTATTAAGAAGCAAACCTGTGAAGCTACTATCATTTATCAGTGTGAATGCACTGAAATTAGTCAAGAACAACTTTTTCTTTTTTTTTTTGAGATGCAGTCTCGCTTTGTTGCCCAGGCTGGAGTGCAGTGGCACAATCTCGGCTCACTGCAACCTCTGCCTCCCAGGTTCAAGCAATTCTCTGCCTCAGCCTCCCAAGTAGCTGGGATTACAGGCACCCACCACCACGCCTGGCTAATTTTTTTGTATTTTTAGTAGAAACGAGGTTTCACCATCTCAGCCAGGCTGGTCTTGAACTCCTGAACTCGTGATCCACCTGCCTCGGCCTCCCAAAATGCTGGGATTACAGGCACGAGCCACTGTGCCCGGCCTCATGTTTTTCTTGAGAGAGACAGGAAAGAGCTGGAAGGCATGGGGTGGGAGGGTCTGAAGAAGAGCACAGGTTGGGTGGGGTGCGGCATGGACTGATTTGGCCTCTTTGTTTTGTTTTGATGCTGGGTCAGACCTAAGGGAGTGCATACGCTCTTGGGGAGTACACAGGCACTACCATGCTGTCATTATCTTTACTTTTGTCTTGGGGGTTTAGCCAAAGATTTCATCCGGCACTTGATGGAGAAGGACCCAGAGAAAAGATTCACCTGTGAGCAGGCCTTGCAGCACCCATGGTGAGAATTCACACAAGCTGTGAGGTGGGGTGGGATTTGGGGCCCTCAGGTCTGCCTCTGCCCTCATAGGCAACCCACCACATAACCCCATCCTAGGATTGCAGGAGATACGGCTCTAGATAAGAATATCCACCAGTCGGTGAGTGAGCAGATCAAGAAGAACTTTGCCAAGAGCAAGTGGAAGGTGAGTCCATATCCCTAGTTCTGGTCCCAGCCTCCCCAGGACTCCTCCCCATCCCTACCCAGGCTCAGCTCGCACAGCACCTAGCACCAAGTTGGGCACACAGTAACTTCTTAGGGATCCTTACTGAAGGACTTCATTCATTCATTCAACACTCCCAACACCTTCTCTATTCCAGAGAGGGTCCCTCACCTCCAAGTCTAGAGGGAGAAGTCTATAATTCTTCAGGAGTCATCTGATCCAGCCTATGGGGGTCCGGGAAAGTCATAAAGGTGGTGATGACTTGACAGAGCTGTCAGTTAAGTAGGAATTAGTGAGGCATAGCAGAAAAATGTCTACAGCCATTCCGGGAAGTGCAAATGCTAAGCCTGGCCAGACTGAAGGGGCTGAGGGGACTGAGAGGCAGGAGCCCAATTTGGGAAAGCAGGTAGGGGCCAGGCCTCTTAGGGCCTCAGATTCCACAGAGGAGCACCAACCTGATCCTGAGGGCACTGAGGAGGCCCAGAAGAATCTTAGGCAAGCATCTGCTACATAGAAAGGGCTCTCAGGGCCAGGCATGGTGGCTCACACCTATAATCCCAGCACTCTGGGAGGCCGAGGTGGTCGGATCACCTGAGGTCAGGAGTTCAAGACCAGCCTGGCCAACATGGCAAAACCCTGTCTCTACTAAAAACACAAGAATTAGCCACACATGGTGGTGTGTGCCTGTAATCCCAGCTACTCGGGGCACTGAGGTAGGAGAATTACTTGAACCTCGGAGATGGGGATTGCAGTGAGCTGAGATCGTGCCACTGCACTCCAGCCTGGGTGACAAAGTGAGACTCCACCTCAAAAAAAATAAAGAGCTCTCAGGATGCAGAGAATGGCATGGAGTAAAGACTGGGTGACCCATTAGGAGGCTGTGGCAGAGATACAGGCAGGAGAGGGTAAGGGTTTGGACCACAGTAGTATCAACAGGGGTAGAGAACAGTGGTTGATCCAGGAGTCATTTAGGAGGTGAAACTAAGACATGATGATGCAATGGATGTTGGGGGAAAGAGATGTCAAGGGCTGGCCCAAGATTGTAGCTGGGAACAGAGTGGACGGTGGCGGTACCATGACTGAGATGGTGATCACAGGGACAGAAACATGTTTTGTGGGGATGGTTTTAGTTTTGGACATGGTGAATTTGAGGGGTGTGTGGGACACCTAGGTGGAGATGTTGAATAGATACACACCTAGGCAAGTTACTTCAGCTTTCTGTGCCTCTGTTTCCTCCTTTGAAAATTATATTAATAGTACCTACCTCAAAGACTTTCATGAAGATTAAATGAATTACTATGTAAAGTGCTTAGAGCACTACCTGGCATACAGTGCTACAGTGTTTGCTATTACATATTAATATGAATTATAGAGTTATGTTTCTATTTATATATATACACACATACATTTAACATACGTGCATGTGTGTGTGTGAATATATAATAAAGCCTTGTAGAGGTTTTTGGGGGCCTTTAGGGGAATCAATAAAATAACTCCTGAATGAAAATAACAGAACAATTGCAAGAATCCCACTGCACCTCCACCCCTGCCCCATGACTTGACTATCTCAAAAGTCCTTTCTCCCCTCTCCCTACAGCAAGCCTTCAATGCCACGGCTGTGGTGCGGCACATGAGGAAACTGCAGCTAGGCACCAGCCAGGAGGGGCAGGGGCAGACGGCGAGCCACGGGGAGCTGCTGACACCAGTGGCTGGGGGTGAGGAGCAGATTCTGCAGAAGGGCATGGGTGGTCCACAGAGAGGCACCTGGGCTGGAGTGGAGGGCCTGCCCCTCCAGCCAGCTCTGTTCTCTCTTCCCATGCAGGGCCGGCAACTGGCTGTTGCTGTCGAGACTGCTGCGTGGAGCCGGGCCCAGAACTGTCCCCCACACTGCCCCACCAGCTCTAGGGCCCTGGACCTCGGGTCAGGATCCCCTGCGTGGGAGGGCTTGGGGGCAGCCTGCTCCCCTTCCCTCCCTGAACTGGGAGTTTCTCTGCCCTGTCCCCTCCTCACCTGCTTCCCTACCACTCCTCACTGCATTTTCCATACAAATATTTCTATTTTATTGTTCCTTCTTGTAATAAAGGGAAGAAGATAAAACCATCCTTAGCGCTGTCTCCCCCAATAGCCCCCAGCCCACCTTGTTGTGCAAATTGACTGCTTGATTTGGGGGTGCCTGGCCCTTGAGGTGGTCACAGGGAGGCCCCTCCCCAACATGAGACTGGGTGGGGATGGGGAGAGAGAAGTGGGGAATGGAGGGGAAGGGGCTTGGGGGAATTCCTTTGTCCAGGGTGCCCCATCTAGACTTCCAGCCCTTTGGAACCCTTTCTGCGCTTTGCTGGTGGCTCCTGAGCACGGTGGGATTGGTGCAGGTCAGCACTGAACAGCACCTGTATGAGGGTGGAGTCGGTGTGGGGAGGAGGGTACATTGGGGTCAGGGCTGGTGGGACTAGTGACAGTGCTGGGAGGTGGAAGAGTCCTTGGGGAACAGGGCCGAAGGCAATGAGAGTCCACTGGGGTTGGGACAGGGGTGGCTGGAGAGTCCTTTAGGGCCACCTGGGGCAGTGGTGGTGGAAGAGTCTGCTGGGTCAGGGCTGGAGGAGAAGTCCTATGGGGTCTGAGCTGGAGGAGAGGAAACCTAGTAGGTACACTCACCGCTTGGGCCCAGCCAGCATGAGGTCCCCACAGGCTCCGGAAAAAGTTTCCTAAATCAGAAGTGATGAGACTAAGTTATCTGACCCCTTCTGTGACCCATCAAGAGAGGTAGGGTATGAGGGAGACATGACTAAGAGAGAGAGAGGTTTCTACCATACCAGCCCACTGCCAGCCCCTGCAGCCCACTTTCCTCACCCAGTTCCTTGTTGCTCTGGGGGCTTGGTCCCTTCGCCTGGGACGTGGTAGGGTGCCAGCTGTAGTCACGTTGGGCAATCTGCCATATATGGACATCCACGGGCACAGCCTGGGGCTTGTCTAGGGCCATCAGGCAGATGCAGTCAGCCACCTTTGACAGACACAGAGAATGAGCCCTTGTGGAAGAAGGGCAGCATCCGGCCAGCATCTTGCTTATAACCCCAAAGCCAGCTGCTTTCTCCTTCACTCTGGGGTTACTGTTGTTCTATATTCTCAATCAACAGATACTATCTATGAATATGCTTTTTTTTTTGAGATGGAGTCTTGCTCTGTTGCCCAGGCTGGAGTGCACTGGTGGAATCTCGGCTCACGGCAACCTCCGCCTCCCAGGTTCAAGCAATTCTCCTACCTCAGCCTCCCAAGTACTGGGATTACAGGCATGCACCACCACGTGTGGCTAATTTTTGTGTTTTTAGTAGAGATGGGGTTTCACCATGTTGGCCAGCCTGGTCTCGAACTCCTGACCTAAAGTGATCCGCCCACCTTGGCCTCCCAAAGTGCTGGGATTACAGACATGAGCCACCATGCCCGGCCTATGAATACACTGAAATTGCTGTAGTAAGAGCTGCTACCAGGTTCTTATAACCTGGGAAGAAGGTATTACCACACCCATTTTGCAGACAAGAAAACTGAGGCTCTGAAAGGTGAAGTGACCTGGCCAAAGTCACATGGCTGGGGAACAGGCAGAAACAATATTTAATGTTAGGCTATAGTCCAAAGCCCATCAAAAAAAATTCTTTAAGCAAAAATTCATTTTTTAAACTACAGAGAAGTATGAAGGAAAAAAAAGGCTGGGCGCGGTGGCTCACACCTGTAATCCCAGCACTTTGGGAGGTCGAGGTGGGTGGATCACGAGGTCAGATCAAGACCATCCTGGTCCAACATAGTGAAACCCCATCTCTACTAAAAATACAAAAATTAGCTGGGTGTGGTGGCTCATGCCTGTAATCCCAGCTACTTGAGAGATTGACGCAGGAGAATCGCTTGAACCCAGGAAGTGGAGGCTGCAGTGAGCCGAGATTGTGCCATTGCACTTCAGCCTGGCGACAAAGCAAGACTGTCTCAAAAAAAAAAAAAAAAGACAGATGCCTAATTTCCAATCATCTTATTGCCAGTTAACCCTATTGACATCAAGGAAAAAGTTTTGTCAGTACATGTAATTTTATGAAAGGAACAAAATGTGGCTGGGAGCAGTGGCTCATCCCTGTAATTCCAGCACTTTGGGAGGGCAAAGCAAGAACACTGCTAGAGGGCAAGAGTTTAAGACCAGCCTAGGCAACATTGTTAAGAGCCTGTTTCTACCAAAACGAACAAACAAAATAGGAAAAGGAGAAATATCTTCCCATTTGTCTCCCCCAAGGAAACTATTCAGTTTCCTGCAATTTCCTTCTGGAAATTGCTGCATATATATAGCAGCACATATGTGTTGCATGTGAACAAATGGTCTTTCTAGAAATTCATTCAAAGGGCTATATCCTTTCCACTCTTTCTGCACTCTGCTTTTTTCTCTCATAAAACATCTACTTATATCCTTTCTCCTTCCTGCTCTGCCTCCGGAAGCCAAGCCTCCACCCAGCTCCCAGGCTTGGCTCATTTCCTGCTCTCCTCCTCTTAAGTGTCAGTGGAGAGGGTAGCTCCTACCCCCTGGGGCCTCACCTTGGTGCCCACTCCCGGCAGGGCACAGAGGGCCTTGTGGGCCTCCTCATAGGAGGCCTCTCGTAGCTGCTGCAGCCAGGGTAGCCCGCCCTGTTCTTCCAGGATGGCTCGGGCACTGGCACTCACGTAGCGGGCACGGTAGCCCAGGCCCAGCTTCCTGAGATGAGCCTCCACCTCTGGCCCTGTGGGGAGTGAGGAGGAGAGTAGGCATCAGGCATCTTCAAGTTCTTCCTGTCCTTGGGCTAGTAAGTGAGCTCTCCACCTCGGGACAAGAGTGCTTTTCCTAAGTACCCCTCCTACCTCCCCACCCTCTATAGGATAGTGGACACTTTTATGTGCAAGGGAAAGGGTTAAGGCCTGGATTCTGTCCCTCTACACATGTTTTCTGAGCACCTACTGTGAATTGGCCCCTGGAGCCCAAGTCTAGTCCAGGGACTGAGGACTTGCTGCCCTGGAGGAGCTCCCCAACCGAGTTCCTTAATCTTTCCAAAAGAGTGTTCATACTCATGATTTAAAAAAATAACCAAAATATAGCAAGAGCTTCTATGATTAAGTGCTAGGCATCAAGCACTGGCAACACGCTTCAGATATATTATCATGCTTACTTTTCCTAAGAACCCCACTGACAGTACTGCTGTTTTCCCATTTTACAGGTGGAGAAAATGACGGCTTAGAAGAGGTTAACTTACTTAAAGGACATGGGGGAGATAAGATCTTGCACCTAGGTCTGGGACACCAAGACCTGTGGTTTTTCTTTTTCTTTTTTTTTTTTTTTTGACACAAGGTCTTGCTCTGTCACCCAGGCTGGAATGCAGTGGCACAATCTCAGTTCACTACAGGCTCACCTCCTAGGCTCAAGCGATCCTCCCACCTCAGCCTCCTGAGTAGCTGAGACTACAGGCTTGTGCCACCATGCCTGGCTAATTTTGTTTATTTTTTGTAGAGATGAGGTCTCACTATGTTGCCCAGGCTGGTCTCAAACTCCTGGGCTCAAGCCATCCTCCCACCTTGGGCTCCCAAAGTGCTGAAATTATAGGCATGAGCTACCACACTTGGCTAACGCCGTGCTTTTAACCCATTACATGACACTGCCTCATGATTGCTTTATTCACCCACAAAGTCCTTCTAGATAGAATCTGTTATTCCCATTCTACAAACAAGCTAAGAGAAGCCAGGAGAGGTGAATGACTTTCTTCAGGTCTGATGACTAAGCCAGGAGCTGAGACTCAAGAACAGGCTTCTTTTTTTTTTTTTTTTTTTTTTTTTTGAGATGGAGTCTCGCTCTGTTGCCCAGGCTAGAGTGCAGTGGTGCGACCTCGGCTCACTGCAAGCTTTGCCTCCTGGGTTCACGCCATTCTCCTGCCACCATGCCCAGCTATTTTTTTTGTATTTTTAGTAGAGATGTGGTTTCACCGTGTTAGCCAGGATGGTCTCGATCTCCTAACCTCGTCATCCGCCCACCTCGGCCTCCCAAAGTGCTGGGATTACAGTCGTGAGCCACCGTGTTCGGCCAGGTTTCTTTTTCTTTTTTTTTTCCTTTTCTTTGAGATGGAGTCTCGCCCTGTTGCCCAAGCTGGAGTGCAATGACATGATCTCGGCTCACTGCAACCTCTGCTTCCCAGGTTCAAGTGGTTCTCCCGCCTCAGCCTCCTGAAAGGCTGGGATTACAGGCACCCGCCACCACGCCCAGCTAATTTTTAGTAGAGATGGGGTTTCACCCCTGACCTCAGGTGATCCACCCGCCTCGGCCTCCCAAAGTGCTGGGATTACTGGTGTGAGCCACTGTGCCCGGCCCAGGTTTCTTTTTGTTTGTTTGAGATGCAACCTCGCTCTGTCACCAGGCTAGAGTGCAGTGGCGTGATCTTGGTTCACTGGAGCCTCCTGCTGCCAGGTTCAAGCAATTCTCCTGCCTCAGCCCCCAGGTAGCTGGGATTACAGGTGCCTGCCATCACGCCCAGCTAATTTTTGTATTTTTAGTAGAGATGGCGTTTCACCATGTTGGCCGGGCTGGTCTTGAACTCCTTACCTCAGATGATCTGCCTGCCTCGACCACCCAAAGTGTTGGGATTACAGGCGTGAGCCACCACACCCGGCCAGGAATGGGTTTCTAAGCACCAAAAACATTCTCCTGTTTTGAGGCAGTCTATCTCTTTGCTATGCAGTTCCCAAGCACTTGTCCTAGCTTGGTTCTCATATCTGCCAACTGATACACTTGCCTCTGTAAAACATTTGCCTTACAGGGGTACTGTGAAGAACACACGAACACATGTGTTCTTAGATGCAAAACTATCCTGTTCACTACAATGATACCAGCTTGATTTTTTTTTTTTTTTTAGAAGGAGTCTAGCTCTGTCACCCAGGCTGGAGTGCAGTGGCATGATCTCACTGCAAGCTCCGCATCCCAGGTTCACACCATTCTCCTGCCTCAGCCTCCCAAGTAGCTGGGACTACAAATGCCCACCACCACACCCGGCTAATTTTTTTGTATGTTTAGTGGAGATGGGGTTTCACCGTGTTAGCCAGGTTGGTCTCGATCTCCTGACTCTGTGATCCGCCTGCCTCGGCCTCCCAAAATGCTGGGATTACAGGCGTGAGCCACCACACCCAGCTGATACCAACCTGAATTTTACATATACTTCCTGTGTGCCAAACACTGCGCTAGGTGCAGTATGTATATTCCTTTATTCAACTCTCGTGACAACTCCAATAACAGCATAGGTAGATGCTATTATTCTATTTCACAGATGAAGAAACTTTAGTACAGAGATGCTAAATAATGTGCCCAAGTGAGAGTTGGGGTTCAAAACCAGGCATGGGTCTGTCCCCAGAATGCATGCTTTTAACCCCAAACTACTGTACATTGTATACAGATGTTTTTCTGATGAGGCATTGAACTCACTAGGCAAAAAGCACAGACCAGTGAGGTGCTGACATTTTGGGGATGCATAGGGAGGATGAGTAACTGGAGTTGATCAGACCAGGCAGGGCAGTTCTGGATTGGGGAAGTGTTTGGTATGGCAGGAAGCCTTGAGATGGTAACCAGGGGAAAAATGAACAGATCTTCAAAGCTGATGGAGGCCTGGGGGCAGGGGACCCACCTACTCACCAGCCAGGGCCTGCAGGCTGGGGAAGCCATGGTAGGTGACATCATCAAGCTGGATGAGCCGAGGTCCAAAAGCCTGGCACAGCCGCTCCACCATGCCAGTGATGCGGGCGATGTTGTTGTTGGAGGAACAGATAAAAGAGAAAAGGCATTCGATGGGGTCTTGTCGCAGCAGTCGCACACCTGGAGACCAGAAATGCAGGAGGTAGGAGAGGTACCTACTGTTGGGTGTGGCCTCTTCCCACCCACAGGTCAGATCCTAGGTACCAAAACTCCAGGATGATCCCAGGAGAATGAGAGTCAGCATCATTAGAGAAAGCAACACCAGGCCGGGCGCGGTGGCTCACGCCTGTAATCCCAGCACTTTGGGAGGCCGAGGCGGGCGGATCACGAGGTCAGGAGATCGAGACCATCCTGGCTAACACGGTGAAACCCCGTCTCTACTAAAAATACAAAAAAAATTAGCCGGGCGTGGTGGCGGGCGCAAGCTGCTCGGGAGGCTGAGGCAGAAGAATGGCCTGAACCCGAGAGGCGGAGCTTGCAGTGAGCCGAGATCGTGCCACCGCACTCTAGCCTGGTGAGACTCCGTCTCAAAAAAAAAAAAAAAAAAAAAAAAGGAACACCAGACCTCTCATTCCTCATAGCATCTTGTAAGGGCTGAGTTACCATCCCATTCCACAGATAAAGAGACCACAATGTAAGCTCCATGAGGACCGGTATTTGGGTCCGTTTTGTTCATTGGTGTATCCCCAGTCGCACAGCAGATGCTTTGTATATATTTACAGAATGAATGAAATCACTTGCCCTGGGTCACACAACCACGAATGGGCTCAAAATCCTTGTCACTTCACTATGGTTATTAGCAGGATAATAATAATGATAATAATAATTACTATGTGCCTGGCATTATTCTAAGCACTTTACATGTATTAGTTCCTTAAATCTTCATAAAAGCCTATGAAGTAGATATAATCCCCATTTTACAGGTGGTAAAACTGAGTCATAGAGAAGTAACTTATGTCCAAGAACCCTAACCCCAGCCCAGGTCCTGTACTCACCTTGGAATTTCTGAGCCACCTCTTGGAAGTGGGAGTCCACAGAACCCCAGTGGTGATACAGTTGAGCCAGGGTGACATCTAGCTGGAAGTACTTGCGCACGGCCTCCAGCTCGTCTGGTGTGGGCCTGCCAGGCTGGCTCTTGTCTCCTCGGTACACAGTGCAGTGGAGCTGCTCCTCAGTCTGAGTCAGTGTCCATACTTGATCCGCTAGTACACCACTCCAGTGTGCAGGACTTTGCTCCCTCCACCTAAGCCCCAGGCACACGACAACCCTGGCACTCAATTTCCTTTCTTGCACCCTTTGGGGTCCCTCCCATCCTACAATCGCTCCATGTACAAAACTGATACAAGTAAAAGTGCTATCTTCCAGTCTGGGCAACATGGTGAAACCTCACCTCTACAAAAAATACAAAAATTTAGCCGGGCATGGCACACACCTGTATTCCCAGCTACTCGGGAGGCTGCGCCCGGGGGTCGAGGCTGGAATGGGCCTCTGCATTCCTACCTGAGCAATAGAGTGAGACACTGTCTCAAAAAAAGAAAAACAAGTACTGTTATCTTCTGCATCGGTTATACCGCTAAATCCTTACAATATCACTGCACAGACATATTAAAGGGAACAGCCTGGCCACCCGTGCTTGTTTCCTCTTTTGTACCCCGGGGTTTCTTCCATCACCCCCCAAATTCCTTTGTACCCCATGCCGGGCAGTGCTGAGGCGGCAGGAGCCAGTCCCAGGGGACGGGCTTCCCAGGCGCAGTCACTCACCGGAAGGACTGTCCAGAAGGCAGAACCAGGTCCAGGCGCAGCTCAGAGCGAGGGCACGGGATAGAGGCCCACAGGGCAGGAGCGGAGGCTAGAGTACGATGCCCCATGCGCCTGGGCAGAAGCGCGCGGGCCGGCATTTCCACAGCAGGAGCCGCCCACAGCAGCCCCGCCCACCCAGAACCAGGCCTAGTCGGCGCCCAAAGACCCCGCCCAGACAAGGACCATGCCCCTTAAGGCCTAGCCCACAGGGTCCTGATTAACGACCTTCCTCGTTTCACTTAATTCCTCCACCTCCTGCATGCCTCGCCCTTTGCGGGTCATCAAAGCCCCGCTTCGTGCCCCAATCCTCCGGCTTTCCTGAGGTGTAGGTCCCGCCTCCTCCTTCCGACTTATCCTCTCCCGCCCCCCGAGCCTCTGGGCGCGCACAGCTGTGTTCTTCTGAGTTCTCCAGTGGCCGACCACGCCACCACCGGAAGTAGTGCTCAAGCACTGCGTATTTGACCTAGAGGTAGCCAATCCGAGGAGGAAGTGGGAGGCGCCAATGAGAAATCAGGGTGGGCGGGCCGTTCCGAGGCGCCCGCGCTGTTGGCGCGCACTGGGCTGTCTGCCCGCTGTTGGCCTTTCCCCCACCGGGATTGTCTGCACTCGGGGAGCTAACGAGTTCCATCCGGGCGCCCCGCGGTTCCTCAGGGCTGTCCGTCTTCAGAGCCACGTCCTTTCCCAGCCTGTCCTCCGAGAGCCGTTCTCCCCTGAGCCTTTCCAGTCTTAGGCGTTCGCCCTCCTTGGGCCGCCTCCCACGAACCCTATCTTCACCAAGAACTGGAGCGAGCACAGCTCAGGCCCTAGAGCCCTCGGGAAGTGTCTCCAGAGTATTCTCTTTTGCGCCCGCCCGCTAAGTTTGTCCCCTTCAAGACCTTTAGGCGTCCTCTGAGACCTCAGGACTTCAGAGGCGTCTCCTCGGATTGTCCCGCCGGCCGCCACAGCTGCTGCCTGCAGTCTTGGGCATTCATTCCTTCCATACTCCATCTGCTCATGCTTTCCTCAGAATAGGGCCTGTGCCGGGGGTTTGTCTGGGGCTGGGCCCAGAAGCCCATCAGGTTGAGTCCAAGTCCCAGTGTATGGCCCTGAGGCAGCCAGCCTCGTCCAGCCGCCTGGAGCAGGAGGATGGATTATGTAATGTCTTCCCTTCTGGCGAATGATGTGAAAAAGCAGGGAGCTAAGAGATACGAACTTTACTGGGCCATTCTCACCTTCTAGCATAGGGATTTGGGGTTGCTGTATCTTAACTGTCAGGCTGCAGGTTTTTTTTTGAGACGGAGTCTCACCCTGTCGCCCGGGCTGGAGTGTGATGGTGTGATCTGGGCTCACTGCAACCTCCGCCTCCCGGGTTCAAGCGATTCTCCTGCTTCAGCCTCCCAAGTTGCTGGGACTACAGGCGTGCACCACCACGCCCAGCTAATTTTTGTATTTTTAGTAGAGATGGGGTTTCACATCTTGGCCAGGATGGTCTCGATCTCTTGACCTCGTGATCTAGCCGCCTCGGCCTCTTGAAGTGTTGGGATTACAGGCGTGAGCCACTGCACCCTGCCCAGACTGCAAGTTCTTAAAGAGCAACATCTGCAGCGGATTGACCCTTATATCCCAGCCAGAGACCTAGCAGAGTGTACCGTGAGCATGGAATCAACATCAGACCAATGCCATCATTGTCTCAGTGCCACTCCTCAGTGGCTGCAAGCTCTGGGCCGCCCCTTTTTCCTGTGACTGTTCCTATCTGTAGGCATGCCACCCCACAGGCACCTAGCACTTGGAAGGCATTCCTTCAATAAATGTCGGTGGAGTCTGGAATGAAGGTGCCGAGGTTGGGAGTGAGCAAAGAGCAACCCTCTCCATCCCTGCTCTGTCTCCGGTTAAGCAGTGGGGAAGGTCTCAGCTGCAGTGATGCTGAAACACTTGGGCCATGCCATTGGCAAAGGACTTGAGGCCTCTGAGGGCCAAGAAGGAATCAACAGTTGACTCTTCCCCTGGCAGTTCAGCATACTGGTTGAAGAGCCAGCTTTGCAAACAGACCTGGGTTCCAATTCTAGCTCTGTACCTTCCTAGTTGTAGGAACTAGGAACTGTAGGAACTGTAGGCAAGATAATTTTTTGAAACCTCAGCATCTTTGTGGAGATAACCAGCCTATTATTAAACTCCCTGTAGTTATTGCAAGGATTACGCAAAGCTGAGTGTCTAAAGGTGCTTAGCACAGGGCCTGCCACTCACTCCATGCATGGGTAACGGGGGCTCTCTGCTATGTCTTATAAATGTAGCATGCACAGCAGTCAGCAACCACTTGGGCCCAATTATGTGTCATCCCTGGGGCACAGAACCTTCCTTTGTATCCCCTTTGCCCTGGCAGGGGGGAAGAACAAAGAATTCTAAAAAGACAGTTTATTTTCTAAGAATCAATATATTTTCTTCCTTTGAAATAAATACAAACCAGTTTGAAAGGTGGGGGAATCTATGGGAAAGAGAAGGGAAATGGGGACAGGCCCCAGTCTTTTTTTTTTTTTTTTTTTTGTACCAAATGACTCTGGCGCGACCCGGAAACGCAGTTACAAATGAGAATAATTTAAATTCTCCGATAATTACAGTTATTTACAACAGCAGGGGAGGGAGTCACCTAGTGCCCCTCTTCCAGGCTGGACAGATGCCCGCTCACCTCACCACTGGTAGGGGCCTCAGGCCTCTAGGCAGTTATAGATTCTCCTGGCATGAGCAGGTAGAGGTGGTGGGATGGCCTGTTTTATGCAGTGTCCTAACTTTGGCCCACCACCCCGCCCTACAATGCTGTGAGGTCTCTGGAGCTCTTTCTGACCTGTGGGCCCTCCCTCTCCTTGCACTGAACTGCCACTGGCCCTTGGAGTGTTCTGTACAGTCCAGCTGCACTTAGGGCAGGAGGGACCTCCCCCACCCAGCTTCCCCTGAGACTGGCCCCAAGACCAGAAATGAGTCAGTGCAGAGGCCGGTGCCACTCCAGGACAGTGAGCAAAGGGGAGGAGAGAGGTCACAGGGTTGTGTGACCCTGTGTAGGTTGGGCTGTGTTGAGCAGTATCAATCACTATCGCTGGTCTCACTGCTCTGCTCGCCTTGCACCTTGCTGCGGTGCTGCAGAGCCCTGTGGTAGGCGATCTGTACTGACTTGCGGATGTTGGACTTGCGGCCCTCCAGCATCTTCTCCTTGTCTAGGTCCTGGTTCACACCCAGAGGAACCAGCTTGGTCCTCGGCAGCCACTGCCTATAGGACAAGGTGAAGATCAAATAAATCATCTCAGGGAGACTAAGGACCAGCCTTCCTCCTCTATTCACTTAAGTATACTGCCCAAGCACCCACTCTGGGCAGACTCTGTGATGGTCCCTGCCCTCAAAGGAGTGCTCATGGTCTAGAGATGAAAGAGCCCAGTCAACGGTTATACTGTGTGGTGGCAGCGGGAGGGTAACCACAGGGTATTTATGGGTACAAAAAGGAGGCGCCCTGACCTCACCAGAAGTAGTTACCCTGAGGCTCTAGGCAGACTTCACTGACACTGAATATCCTCTGCAGACAACTACCAAAAAGACTACATGTGCAAATATGACAGAAGAGGGATTCAGAGCCTGAATGTTTATGCCTGCCTTATCCTCATTTTGTCACCATGGAGGCAGAGGTGGGAAAACTAAGTCTAGAAGCCATCTGAGTCTGGGTGGGAGCCACCTCTATATTTGTCATAGTCTCTGATGGTCCTTTGGTTTCTAGCTACAGCTGTTTGTCCTCTAGTGCCCACTCAGCCTCTCAGACACATGGTCGACACAACCCTTTCACTCAAAAAACTGTTCTAAGTCCCTCCCCCACTGACTTATGCTAGCCCAGTCTGCCTGTTGCTGGAGTTTCCTGGCAGTCTGCCTCCATACCACACAGGGCTGCATCTGTGGCTGTGAGTCACACCAAATGCTCCCCTCCTTACCAGGTTCGTTTGTTGTCAAAGAAGAGGACGAGGTAGAGATGCTCTCGGGCTTCCTGGGTCATCTGCTCCCCAAGTTTCAGCACCTCCAGTGGGGGCACAGGGATGGGAACTCCATGGTGGAACATACCTTCTCGGGGCATCTTTGGATCAATGATCTGAGGGTGTAATAAGAGCCCAGTTTGGTTCAGTCCACGTCCTCCCAAGGCTTGCCCTCCTCAAGAACTTAAAGAGTACGTCTGAAGTGGGGACAGAAAGGTTATCATGCTACCAGAACTGCAATGCTGACCCTCAGCTTCTTTCCACGCTACATTATTTCAGAGCCCAAGGAGCAAAGAGAAGGAAAAGGGAGAGATGGAGAAACTGAGTAGGAGCCTCTAAGTGGTACTCAAGCTGTATCTGCCCACCAGTACACCTTGCCAAGAAACTGTGCCCCATAGCTCAGCAGGGAGTAGGAAAAGTTTGCTAACTGTGAATCTGTATTCTGGGATTGGAAAGCAAGGGGCCTAAGAACAGAAGCGGAGCATACCAGAGCTGGGTATGATGGATACCCTCGGCATTTGGCCCACACGAGGTCCAGAGCATCCAGCGGGGAGTCCTCATCCTCTGACAGCCAGCCAGCTCCCCGGCCCAGACTCTTCCTTACCACTTCACAGGAATGGGGGAGAGGGGGTGGATCAGCAGCTGGGGGGCTGGCGAGGCCCTGACACTGGGTCCCCAGCATCCCTGGCCTTGGGCAAGGGAACTTACTGCTGTGGCCCACGCCGCGGCCAGTGCCCACGGAGTAGGCCTCATTCTCAGTGCCTGAGGTATCCTCACTGCTGTCCTCTGGGAAAGTGCCCCGAGAGAAGGAAGGTTTACCCCGGCCTTGTTTTGAGGGTGTTGTGCTGTGGACAAGACAATGGGAGCTCAGCTCAAAGGAGGGGAAGAATGGGGAACAGCATGGTATGTGCCCTCTGCTCTTAAAGCCCTCAGGGTCTGAGACTTTTGGAAAGCAGTGGCTGTATGAGGAATTTCAAATTCAAACACCCACAGGGGCTAGGCTGGTGACCTGAGGTGCGTTAGACTGAGCAGTGGCGGCAGGAGTGCATACTCTAATCATCACCTTAACCCAGGATGGTTCTCTCTGTTCCATTAATGGTAACACTGATTTATTTAACAGAGAACCTTGAGTTTGAGTCATCTTAACCTAGACTGAGATGGCAGCCACCCCACTTCCAACAGGGAAACCTAGAAAGGCCCAAGAGCCCTGGAAGGGCATCCCCTGAGGCTGGCCTTGATCTGGAGGGCTGGTACCTGGTCCGGTCTGAGGCAGCGCTGCTACTGCTACTGCTGCTGGACTCAGAGTCTGAGCTGCTCCGGGGAAGGCTGCAGTCATTACGGTATACCAAGAAACTCTTCTTCACTGGCTGGTTTCCACCGCTGAAGCCATTGGCTGGTAAGTCTTGGTTGAAGGGAAAGGGAGGAGGGAAGGAACCGGTCAGGAAGATGTAGATCAGAGATGACATGGAGGTAAGAGGGACTTGGAGCTTGGGTTCCCCTTCTGTGCTGGAAAATTCCTCCAACTTTTGCCAGCAGAGCTAGCTCTGGGCAGTGTCTACCACAGTTGGCCACAGCCCTGCCCCACCCCTTGCTTCCCGTGGCAGTTACTGGCTTTAGGACACAAACGGCTTAAAGGGTAGGAGATCCCCAAGGAAGGTGAGAAGAGAAAAGGTAAAGTGATACAATGGAGGCGGGGGGCCCTGGGTGGGACTCTAGCTGGGTCATAGTGTCTCTGGGCCTCAGTTTTCCCAATTGTAAGATGAGTGAGTGGAGTTAAAGGATTCCTAAGGGCCCTTCTAGCTCTCTCTTTTATGGGCAAATAAAGGGGTAACTGGGAGTATGCTGGGAAGAATGGCAGCTTTGCTCACTCTCTTGGGGCGCTGGGTGATGGTAAGGCTCACCCATTGGGGGGTCTTCTGTGGACTTATCACTGTCGCTGTCTGAACTCGAACTGGGCCGGGGGCTCCTACCCCGCTTGCGCTGACGCAGGGAGCTCATGATGGGGAGCTGGGGGGGCCCCACAGGACTGCCTCCGTGGCTGGGGGTCATCTGGCTCTCCCGGTTTTTGGGGGGCCGGCCCGGCCTCTTGGGCGGTCCAGCTGTCTTCGGGTTCTTTTTGGAGAACAGAACTGAGGTTCTCCTGCCCACCTCATGTGCGGGGGTTGAGGACATGTTGGGACCCAGGCCTGGAGCAGAGAAAGAAAGAAGGAGAGTTGGTGAGGGGCCTGATTTGAGAAAGGTAGATATCCAGGGTCATGCCCTGGGTATATAGGGTCATTACTCCAGCTAAAGTTGGGGAGATCATTTTAGGGGCTTGGAATTTGGAACATTAACTCTTATACAAATAGCCAGAGAGGCAGCTAAGAGGCCCCTGATTGGGGAATGAGGGAGAAAGTACAGCTAGCTGTGTAGGAGGGACCTCTGCCTGGGGAATGGCAGGGGTTGAGTGTGTGCTGCAGAGCCAAAGTCTGACTTGCTTTGGGGTCCACCTTGCCATGGGATTCAGACCTTTGCTTGTCTCCTGGCTGCTGCTCTCCTCTGCGGCACTATCTGTCTGCCCATCCTTGTCACAGGCTGCCGGGTGGGGTGTCAGACTGCCCCGGCTCGAAGGGCCGTGCCGCTCAGGCCCATCACGTGCAGTCTCTCGCTGGTGGGCAAGCTTCCGCCGCAGTGCCGTCATCTCTTTCTTGATCATCTTTGCACGCCGTGAGCGGCCCACACTCTGCTTGCTGGCATTCACTTCGTCCAGCCGCTCCAGAAGCAGCTTCAGCTGCTCTTCCACTGGCAGGTGCTTCTGGTTCTCCAGCAAGACCAGCCGCTCTTCCTCAGCTGCTAGGAGTAAGGTTGGAGGGGAAAGGTCAGACTCAGGGCAGCCCTCAGGGCCCCTTGAACCTGGGCAGGCAGCAAGAAACCCACTCATCCCTCCTCGGCTTCTCACCAGGAACAGCTGTAAAATAGCAGCACCAAGATGTGGAATGATGGGCACTGCTATCCATTCACCCAGTCTGGCTTCTTGGGGAGCATTCCTGGGGATAGTGTGCCACTGCTCAGCCTAGCTGCTTTCTGCCTACACTGCCTGCTCCCAGGAGGGGACTTTTGGAAAGCTGTCCATCCCTGGCATTGGCCTCTTATATGTGTGTGTGACATATCACCCACCATCTTCAGTGTGGTGTGTGGCCTCATCTCCAGTCAGGCTGTGGGGGATATGCATGCCCGTCTCAAAGTCAATGCCCATTTTTTCTGCCTGGCGCCGGGCCTGGCGGAGCACAGCACCACCCTGCTCACGAAGCCGCACTGCTGCCCGGTAGAATATGGTGTCCTTGGCGTTATACTTGAGGCAGTTGCTGACGATGAGGTTGAAGTCCTCCTCAAAATCATCAAAATTCAGATAGCGGTAAGCCTCCAAGTTCTGCTTCATGGTGAAAAAGTCCATGGGCTTTTTGATGTGGTCTAGGTAGTCAGGTACCTGGGAGGGCAGGGCAAGTTTGTTTTAAGTAGAGATATCCTCCTCATTGCCCCGAACCCTGCTCCTAACAAGCCCCCCTGAAATACATCCAGCAACCTCCTCCCATCAGTTAGAATCAGGCATATAGCACAGGCGAAAGGAAAGCTGAATTCTGGTCCTGACTTTACCAGTCACAAGCTGTGTGACTTTGGCAAGTCTCTTCACCTCTCTGGGCCTACTTTTCCTCTCCTAGAAAATCATGAAAGTAGAGCCAAATATACTTTTTAGACTACATGAGGCTTTAGTAAGAAAATGGCTTGGGGACTCCTCTGAAAATAAACACCACCTTGCATTCCTAGAGCTCCTTTTACTTAACAGTAACTTATAAGGAGGCTGCTGCCTCAGACCTCTCATTTTATACCTTTTAGAGAGAAGAGTCTGCCAGTCAGGACCTAGGGCTTCAGAGCTGGTTCTTTAGGTGCTGAGCCTTCTAAAGTCTCCGTTCTAGGGTTCAGCACCCCGAAAGTGTCTTCCTGCCCTGGGATTATTCATTTGGCAGACTCAGTCCCTGCCTCTGGGGAAGGAGTGCAGACTGCCTCCCATTCTGGGCCCTTGGGGTGTAACAGGGACAAGACAGAGTCCAGGTGATACATGTGGCTCCAGTTCATCCTGCCCCAGAGCCACCAGCCCCTCTCTTCAAGGTCCCCATCTAGTCCCTGGCCCAGACCTGCAGCAGGGGTCCAATTGGGAGAGGAACAGAGAGAAGGTGGAGTGAGGGGAAGGGATTCTTACTTCGTCCAATTCGGTTACCTCAGACAGAGGGACCGGCTCGCTGAAGATGTTGCCTGTGTCCTTCTCTTGGAGCTGCTCCAAGGTTTTGCGAAGGAGGATGAGGAAAGGGGTCAGCTGCATCTCCATGGCAATCTGCTGAACTTTGATCTAACACAGAAAAAGGCCTGATCAGCCAGGCCCCGGCCAGTCCAGTGGCAGAGACATCTGAGGATATGGTCCCAGCTGGCCTGGGAAGCCACCTTCTTTCCCACCCTCACAGCTGGGTGCACTCATACAGGTCTACCTTCTATGAGATACAAGAAACTTGCACCAACGATTCTGGTCTCCCCCTTTCTTGAACTACCAGCATCAACTACCTATGTCACTGAGGATTCTGTTCATACGCTCCTGTGACATTCTGCTTCCAGTAGACCTTTTAAAAGCACACCAAGAACCAGGAGACCTGACTCTAGCATCAGCCCTGCTGCTATTTGGCTGACGGACACACACTTTTCCTTCTCCTGGGTCTGTTTTCTCCTTTATAAAATAGGGCTGGCCCAGGATCACTCACCGTCTCCCTTTTGAGTTTTTCCCGCTTGCGGATCAATTCCACCAGCAGCCGAGCTCGCTCTAAATCATGCCGGAGCCGCTGCCAGGACTTGAGCTGTTCTTTAAGGGCCCAGTTCTTATCCTCAGAATCTCTCTGCAGAGGCAAAAGGAAGATCAGGGAATGATTAGAAAGCCAGAGGAAAGGTCAGCAGGGATAAGAGAGCCCAGGAAACTCAGGTCAAGGGCAGGTCAAGCCAAAAGAGGGAGCACAGCAATTTATTGGTAGTGCCTCAATCTGTGTGTCCCCAAGGCCTGGCAGAATAAATGCCTGGTGTTTGTTGAATGAATACATAAACACATAGGAACAACATCCTTTCACTGAGGATTCCACGCTGATCCTGGCTTGAGGGCGAGCTTAAAGGAGGAAAGAGTCTAAACCCTCTGACACTGGAAACTACAGTTGCAAATTTTGGTTTTCATCCCCCTGGCCCTAGTTCCCAGAGCCCACAGGGAACTGGACACAGTACCCCGACTTGGTCACAGTTCCTCTGAGACTGCAGGTGTGTCTGCAGGCGACGTAGCAATGGGACCCCATTCCGTGACTGCCGCTTCAGTGTCCAGTAGCTGTGCAGCCTCTGCATGAACTGGCTCTTCCTTTGGATTGTCAGGCGGTTGGTGATTTTACTAAGCCTAGGAGGCAGGAAACAAAGAGTAAAACCTGTTGGGCCCTGATTCTCTTAAGCAGAGCAAGGGTCTCTGGCCAGTGAGAGTTCCTGAATGGGGATGAAGGGAGAGTATCTCTTGTCCAAAAGGCCTGGGACTCTGGACTTAAGGCAAGGAAGAAAGAGTGGTGCCATCAATGGTACCACAGCAGACAGGAAACCAAGCTCCCATCACTAAACCAGATCCCTAACCCTGTATACCTGGGATCAGGGACTTCTGCCCCGAAGACTGCTGTAGTCACGGCAGCCCAGAGTACTATTTGACCCTGAGAGCCCCACTGAGACTAAGCCTTTGAAGGTTTTAAGATGAAGTACAACTGTATAGCAGAAACATATAGTAAATCAAATAAATGGCACGAGAGAACTGAAAAAACCCCTGGCCATCACAGCCCACATGAGAGGCAGTAACCACTTCACAACTTCTTGAGCTTCCCCTTCCCCGTTTTCATTCTATTTGTTTCTTCATAATCAGACCACTTTTTCCATTGCTGCCAGTGGCAGTTCCATCCTCTTCCATCCCAACTTAACAAACCACACCATCAAAATGAAGGGCAGTTCAAAACACCTGTTAGCTATGCCAGATAAAAGTTGACATTTCTGGCTCTTAAGTCAGGTGACCTGCTAAAGACAACTATCTCTTTTGAAAATATGTTCTTTTTAACTTCTATGCAGCTCCTGGGAAGATAGTCCAGCCCTGACATTCCACTCCTGGGAAGAAGATAGCCCAGCCCTGCTATTCCACTCAGGAGGCTGCCAGCTCCTCTCCAGAAGGCATTCTCCCTCACCTGCCGGTCCACCGGCTCCCCACATACCTGTGTGGTGGGATGCAGGGCACTGACACCACAGGTGCTGCTGCCCGCTTCTCTGCCAGGATCTTCCGTGCCTTCTTCATTTTGATCCGGGACTTGGCCTTGGCCTTCTTGACTTTCTCTGAGCTCCAGCCCTTACCCTCATCCTCTTCCTCATCTTCATCTTCCTCACCCTCGCTGTGCGACAGGGCAGGCAGTCGGCGTGCTGAACCTGGAGGCGTGTGGATGTCGCAGTAGGCTGTCTTGCGGACACTGAAAGAGGTGCCGTTGGCGCCTGTCTCCCGCACAGGCTCCATCTTCATGTAAAGGCCAGCCTGCTGGGCGCATGTCACATGGAAAGCTGTGTAACAGTTGGCCTTGTGGCACTGGATGCAGGCCCCTGAGCCCCGTTGTTTGCAAATGTAGCAGGTGAGCTTCCAGCGAGCTGGTGGGATGTGCTCAATGCTGTCAATAGGCTCTAGGAAGACCGTGTTGGCGAAGCAGACCTCAGGGATCCACAAGGCACACACCACATGGGCCCAGCGACCGTCATCTGTCTGCTTGAAGGCACCACCCTTGTTGGGGCACAGGGCACAATCCACAGCACGAGAGGGTGACTGCAGGCAACGGCGGCATAGCCACTGGCCCTCAGGGATATAGGGGACACCGTAGCACTCCTGGTGCACGGCCAGGTTGCACATGTCACAGAAGAGGATGACATTGCTGTTCTGGCACTCACCATCATTGCAGATACAGCAAACAGCATCCTCATCCACTAGCGCATTGGGGTCGCCTTTATTATGACTCTCAAAGTACGACTCCTTCTCTAGTCGGTCCATTAGGTACTCAAAGATCTCCTGCGGGATGGGACTTACACCCTCTGTCTTCCGACGCTCATTCATGATATCCAGCCAGATGTAGTCCTCCTCGTCCATGTCATACTCTACTTCCTCGTCCAGCTCCTCTGCAGACTTCTCGATGTACCTATGGTACACACAGGGAGCTCAGCATCACATGGTTGAGACTTCCCTCCCTTAAAGAAGGTGGGTCATTTGCCACTGAGCACTTACTCTGTGCCTGTGCCCTTCAGATGTGTTGTCTCATTTCATCCTCACCTTAACTTCAGATATTATAGGTACTATCATCATTTCTATTTTGCTGAAAAGGAAACCTAAGGCTTGGAAGGTTAATCGCCTGGCCCCAGCTCACCTGTGAGAAAGTGGTGGAGCTGGGATGTGAACCCAGACCTGCCACTGCAAAGCTCATGTCCTAGCTGCTATATGTGACACCATCTTCTTTGGGTTGCAGAGGCGTGGCCAGCCTCCTCTAAAAGGAGGAAGGTGGGGCAGCTAGTACCCCTTGGAGTGGTCCAGATGATGGTATGAAGAATCAGGGAAGAAGGAAGGTCATTGGATGTCACTGACAAATTACATACAAGTTGTTTTAGCACTGGTGGGCAGGGCCTCGACTAGAGCTGCCGTGGGTCTTCTCTCAGCTGGTGCCAACATCAGCTCAAAGCTCCATCAAACTCTAGGTGCTATGTTTGTTCACTGGATAGCCTTGGGAGATAACAATTATAATAGCTAAGGTTTACTGAGGATTTACTATGAGCCAGGCATTGTGCTTAACTATTACATTTATTCTTACCACAGCCATAGAGTTAGTGTTCTTATTGTCCTCATTTTGTAGATGATAAAACTTAAGCTTTGAGAAGTTAATCAAAACACAGATAGGTCACATAACAAGGGAATGGCAGAGGCATTCAACCTCCAGCCCCAGTGCTCTTAATGTCCACCCTATATCACTTACTGTGCCAACAGGCCTGGAATTAAGGGCTGCTCTAGGTGCTTGTCACACAGAGAAGGTGCTCCTTGCCTGCCATGCTATAGGGAGCCTAGACTCTGGCACTGTGAACTACAGGGTACAAAGGAAAGAATGGGGCTTTGGCTTCTAAGTAAACCGGATTTGAATCCTGGCTCTGCCATTTTGTGACTTTCAGGACATCACTGCTGTTCTGAACCTCAGTTTTATTGATGACAGAATGAGGATAATACTACCTACTCACAAAGATGCTGTCAGGATTATGTGGAATTATAAAAATGAATAGGCTACAAACTCTTGGCCTTTACATTTATTTATATAGTACCTTGCCTGGTGCCTACCACCCCATCAGGCTCCAGCAGTCCCCAGCAGGCCCACGGAAGGAAGTGTGAGCACCTTGGTGTAAAATGCCACCTAACCACTAAGTCACATGTGACCACATACAGACGCGTGCGAATATAAACATTTATCTTTTTATTAAAAAGTTGTTTTTAAAAATGAATGAGCTAAGTCAAATGGCACACAGCAGGTCCTAGAAAAACATTAGCTCCTGTTTCTCCTCTCATGTGGGAAATGGGACTTTGGCTGCTAGAGTGGGCCGGGACACACAGGTGCTGGAGCCACACTGCCTGGGTCCTGTCTAACAGAGGGCAAGTGAGCTAAGCTCCCTGAGCCTTGTTTGTTCATCTGTAAAGTGGTGATGCTAATCTGAACCTATTTCACACAGCAATTGTGAGCATTAAATGAGTTAATGCAGGTAAAGTGCTTAGGACAGTGCCTGGTGTGCAGCAAACACTCAATAAATGTTATTAGTTTTTGTATGGCCCTTATCCACCTTCCTAGCATTATAGCTGTTTATGTGTCTAACTTCTCCACTACACAACAGAAGTGGGGATTGTGTCTGATTCGCCATACAGATACAGGCACTCATCACTGTTCATTTGAAAGGCATTTTGGGGGTGGAAGGGAGGAGAGAGACTGAAACATTGTAGGAAGCAGCTTCTTCCTTTTTAGCCCTTTACCTCTTCCCCAAGGTGACTGCAACATCCCTATCTTTGAACAAGGGTATGACTCATGGATGGTGTGAACCATCTGGCTTCTTCTAGGCCTTGGCACCAGCTCTCTTCAGCACCAATTCTCACCCTTTTCTCTGCCATGACACACGTGACATTATGTGATGGTGCATAACACACTCCCACAGGCACCCAGATTACAGGCTGCAGTACAGATAAGGTAGGCTGCATGTCGTGTAATTCCTGGCACACCAGCTGACATGCCACCCTCTCTCTCCCCCTCAAGGAAGCATATCAGAATGCAAGCAAAAGAAAGTGATGCTATTAGAGAGGTGACCTCAAATCTTCTCAATTTCTATAGAAAGTAAGTCATTTCCAAAACTTGGGCAGTTTTACCAACAGTGGTAACAAATTCCATGCAATACACCTCCCAGTTGTTTGCAGTGCACCTGCTGAAAACTGCTCCCCTAAAGAACAGATCTGATCCCCAGAAAGAAGAGTGAATCTAAGTGGAGGGAGGAAGAAAAGCAGCTAATGAGCTGGACTTGGCTGCCTGTTAGAGCACAGAGAGCTCAAGGGCCACTGGGAGGGAGGGGAAGTCCAAAGAGGGGTCTGTGTGTTAGGAGTGGGGCAGAGGTGGGTATGGTAGTCAGTGTGAACAGAAAAGAGAAAGACCGTGGAAAGCCAGAAGGAAGTGGAATTGGACTGAAAAGATGAAAGAATGGGAGAGGAAGAGGGAGATGGGCTTAAATTCTAATAGTAGAGAGAAGAAAGTGCTACCGGCCATACTGCTTGCGTTCCCAGATTTGCTTTTAAAGAATTGAGGTTTAGGCCAGGCGCAGTGGGTGGCTCATGCCTGTAATCCCAGCACTTTGGGAGGCTGAGGCGGGCAGATCACGAGGTCAGGAGATCGAGACCATCCTGGCCAACATGGTGAAACCCCATCTCTACTAAAAACACAGAAATTAGTTGGATGTGGTGGCACGTGCCTGTAATCCCCGCTACTTGGGAGGCTGAGGCACGAGAATTGCTTGAACCCAGCGGAGGTTGCAGTGAGCCGAGATCGCGCCATTGTACTCCAGCCTGGCAATAGAGTGAGACTCCATCTCAAAAAGAGAAAAACGGAAAAAAAGAATGGAGGAATAACATCATGTGGACTGCACTTTTGGTAAAAAATGCTTTTCATATAAAAGCCTTTATGACAAATCCTCCTCAGAGATCAGGCCTTCTAATTAGCTGACAACAAACTTACCACTCTTGGCAAATTAACTCATCAGAATGCCTTTTTTGCCTTGGATGCCAACTTTCAGAGAGGTTTTACACTTGGTTTTCGTGCCATCCTTCAGCCAGGATTTCTCCATGTAGTTTCACCACCACACTGCCCCCCACATCCCTTCACCTTTTACCTCATGTTAAACAAACGATTAAATGACAAAAATAAAAGGGCCACTGGAGGAGTATTAAATGTTGCTTAAGCATAAAATACCGCTTAAACATGTTAAAGGACAAATGACAATAACAAAACAAATAGTGGGAGAATTACCTCTGCAGATTTACAAAGTGGTTTTAGTACCTTATGAAATCAGTGATCCTATACCTTTAGGGAGGCAGAGAAATACTGTATCTGCTCTGCAGATGGGGTCCTTAAAACACCTTAAGTTGGATGCATTTCCCAAGGTCATTCAGTAATGAAATGGAGAGGGCCAGGAATCAGAAACAGGATGTTTTGCCACAGTGGAAACAGTACAGCTATGGAGTCAGAAGGACCTGGGTTTGAACCCCAGTTCAGCTATCTACTGGCATGTGATTTTAGATAAGTCTGGCCGGGCACAGTGGCTCATGCTATAATCCCAGCACTTTGGGAGGCTGAGGTGGGTGGATCGCTTGAGCCCAGGAATTCAAGACCAGCCTAGGCAACGTGGTGAAACCCCATCTCTACAAAAAATTTTAAAAACTAGCTGGGCATGATGGCATGCGCCTTTAGTTGCAGATATTCAGGAGGCTGAGTGGGAGGATCACTTAAGCACGGGGGGCGGAAGTTGGGGTGAGCCAAGATCGTGCCACTGCACTCCAGGTTGGGTGACAGAGCCAGACCCTGTCTCAAAAAAAAAAAAGAAAAAGAAGATAAATTTGGCATTCTTTCTTGACCATAGTTTCCTCATCTGTGAAATGAGAAAAATATCTACCTGAGAGTTGTGAGAAAAAAATAAAGGAGTGGTGTGTGGCACTGTAGAGTAAGTGCCACCATTAGTAGGATACCATTCCACTCACTGCCCTGGCAAACTCAGTGTTCTTTCACTATTCTTTATTCCCACCACTCTTCTATCTGTGCCTCTCACCTCTCTCTGGCTCCTGAGCCCTGCTTGATCAGTTTTCCAGAGCTGCAAGGTAGAGGTGGCCTTACCGGTAATAGGAAGTTGGCCGGGGTGGGGCATCAGGGGTGTCTTGTTCCAGCTCCCGATAGACCACCTCTGGCAGCTTGGGAGTGGTGCTCGCAGAAACATTGTGGTGGTGGTGATGGTTAGAGTCCTTGCGCTTCTCCTTGTTCTTATGTTTGCCTGACTTGGGAGTAGCAGCTGGTGTCTCAGTGTTCTCCTTGTTGCTGCCATTCTCAGGGGCCTCCTCGGGGGCTTCCTCATCCTCTGACACCACATCCAGGTTGTCAAAGATGCTGATGCGGTGGACGCGGCCATGCAAGTCCACCTCCACCATGCGCTGGGCCTGTGCATAGCTCATCACCTCACGGCCTGGTGACTGTGAGACCTCTGAGGGGCTGGGTGACTGCTTGTTGGCTGGGCGTGACTGGCGCCCCTTCTTCTTGTGCTTGCGGAGTGGAGTCTGTTGTGGTGGTGGTGGGTTGTCGTGGTCATAGTGGTACAGGTGGTACTCAATACCACTGTAACTCTTGTAGACCTTTCGGCAGGTCTCCACCGGGCACTCGTACGGTGGCTTAGTCGCCCGCAAGTTGTGGCAGAAAGTCTTCACATCAAAGTCCACCCCCATGCTGTCACATCTAGAATACACAGATCAGTTAGCATAAGGCTGGGGATGAGTTCCTGGCCATTTGCACCAGAGACCCCAGTCTTTCCAGTCCTCCCCCTCACTTGGAGTCACTAGGTCCTGGCCAGCCTACCTCTACAGTGTCTCCAAATGCCATCTCCTCCACCATGGCCCGGATCTGGGCCCTCATCACCTCTTGCCTGGTTATCCTGCCCTATGTCTCAACTCCTCTAGCCCAATCTCACATCATATAGGAGAGTGAACTTTCTACCAGGTAGTAATGATCATGACAGTCTCTTCACTAAAAGCCTCCTGATGCTCCCCAGTTCCTTCAAGATAATATTCAAATTCTCTATAATGCCATTCAAAGAGCTCCTTTCACTTTCTGGCCCTAGTCCTCCTTTCCAGATTCTTTTTACAAGTTACAGCTGTTTTTGTCTACACAGGGGAACCTACCATTCCCTGAATGTTATAACCTCTCATTCCTGCAAAATGATCTCTATTTGGAATGCCTTCCATCCTTTTCTGACTGGTAGGCTCCTACTCGTTCTTCAAAAAACCAGCTCAAATGTCACTTCTGACACAACTTCTCTGACTCTCCCATGGGGAGCTGTTTCCACAGCATTCCATTCTCACCTCTACCACAGCACTTGACATACTGAAAATTGTCTCCCCTCTGTACTGGGAGCTGTGTAGTAAAGACAAGAGAGCCTATCCACCTCTGTATCCCCAGTACCTAGCATGCAGTGGACACTCAGTTTTTGGTGAACGAATGAACGACCTGTTGAACAAATAGCTGAATGAGGGGATCACCAGATTGAGAGCTCAGATGGGATGAAGGCCATGTAGAAGGCTGAATGGGTGGCCAATGCTTTAGCATTGGACTCCTGCAGAAATCACTGGATCACAGAAAGAATTCATTTACTTTTGAGGTCTTTATGGGGAGCCTGGCCCTGGAACTGGGTAGGAGATGTACTGTGAAGTAAAGTGAAAACTGAGATCATTTAGTCAGTGACAGCAGCCTGTATTACATTTGAGCTCTTCACCCACTCACGCAACATTAACTGAGTGACTACCAAGTGCCAGACCCTAAGGGTACAAACACGAACGCGACAATCTAGGCATGCTCAGCTCCACGGTGGTCCGCAGGGGCCCTCCCTTCCCCCTCCCCAACATTCCTGGGTGAGTGTAGACAGCAGATGGCACCAGGCCTCAGGAAGCCCAGCTTGGTCAGAGACTGCCCCAATTTCTCTCGGCCTAGTTGAGTTCAACAATTCAGCTAGGGGCTTGGCACCATCCCAGCAGGGCAGGGCTATCATGAGCTCCCTGACAAAATAACCCCTCTTGGCCTCTCCACCTGTGCCTTAACCAGGCAAGTGGGCTGCTCCAGCTCTTCTGTCAACGGCTCCTGACTATCACATCAGTAACGCTACACGTCCAACTGCAACTCTCTTCTACTTCCTACCTGCGGCTGTGTCTTTAAACACAAACCAACCGAAGCACAAACAAGCTCTCCTCTTTCCAAGCTGGGTCCCGGGTGAATGGCTCCCAAAGCAGCACAGTGAATCCGGCAATCTCCCCTTGGAACCCGGCAGCAGAGGCACAGGCGACGGAGACGAGAACTGTGACCAGAAAGCCCGTGGGGAGGGCCCAAGGAGAATGGCGGCTGCATCTGCCCCAGAAGCTCAGGGGGCTGGAGGAAGTAGGGGGCGGGGGCCGGAGGGATAGGGCTGGGCCCCGGCAGTGCCCGCAGCCCACTCTCCGGATGCGGCGGCGTTTCCCCTTTGTGGAAGTGTAACAAGTGAAACAAGGCTCCCCTCCTGCCACTGGCCAGAGCAGCCCCGAAAGACATACTGTTGCCCCGGGATGCCTGCTGGGAAGCAATGCACTGTCAGTTCTCCCAGCTGGAGTTGCCAGAGAGGCTCCCGGGCCACGCGGCTCAGTGCGCGCCCCACGAACGTAGCCTACCCCTTCCCTGCCGGCCACTCCCGCCCTGGTCCCAGGCCCGCACTCACCGGCCACCTCGAGTCCGGGCTCATCGCCGGGGGCGCCCGCCGGGGCTCCGACCCCACTTGGGGAGGCCGGCGGGGAAAGTCGGGCCGGGAAGGGGGAGCCCCAACTCCGGAGACCTTAGACCTCGCCACCTCGGCCCCCTGCCGCCCCACGCTTTGGTCCCGGCTCCCCGGGATTCTTGCGCTGACCCCTGCCGCTCCCGGTCCCGCCGGCGCCCTGGGGTCTCAACTCCGTCGGCAGCCGCCCGTTTCGCGAGCCCTTAGGATGCCCGGTCTCGGGACCGGGCGCCGCTGGAACAATGGAGGCTCCCAGAGGCAGCGCGAGGACAGCGGCGGCGGAGACCGTGGCGGCAAAGGCTGTGGCAGCGGCGGCGGCAGCAGCGGCGGCGACGGCGTCTGCGCAGGGTAAACGTGGCTCCGCGGCGCTGCTGAGTTGCACTTTCGCCACGGATCCCCGCCCGCCTGCTGAGGCTCGAAAGACCGTTCTCTGGGATTCAGAAAGGACCCTGGACGCCCCACAGGGCTTCTCTAGCTCTCTCATTTTAGAGTGGAGTTTCTGGAGACTGAAGTCACCGTATTCGGGATCCGGGGTCGTCGGGCGGTTTGTGGCGAATCTGCAGCCACGGACGGTGAGCGCGGGGCTGGGGGTGAGGAGCCCGCCCTTCTCCCCTCCCCCTCTGCCTCCTCCCTCTCCGCTCCCTGCCTCCTGCTGGCGCCGCGGCTGCGGGAGGGACCTGGCCTTGGTCTCGGAGGAAGGCGGTGAGGCGGGGCCAGAGTCACGGGGCGGGACTGGGGGCAGGGCCGGGAGCAAGAGGGATGGGAGCTGGAGCCTAAGGGACCGGGAGTTGTGGGTAGGACCGGGGCGGGGCTGGAAATTAGACGGGTCTGTGGGGCGGGGCTTGTGAGGAGGGGGCGGGGCTACTGTACAGCGGGGGCCCTGTTAGAATAGCGAGGTAAAAAGTGGGGTTAAACAGAAGAGGAGTACTCATGAGAGAAAGGGCGGAGCTTTGGACGAGTCTGGAAAGTGGAGCTGGACTAGAAATAAAGAACAGAGTTGGAAAAAACGACGCGAGGCTGAAGGGAGTAGGCGAGGCTTGGGAAGGCAGCGGGCGGAGCTGTGGGGAAAGGGCGGGACCGATTAGGGATAACGGGGCGTGACAGAAGGAAAGGGAAGAAACTCGGAAAAAGTAAAGGAGAGGTGCTAGAGAAAAGGTATGGGTCTGAGAGAAGGGGCTGGTTTGGGGCCGGTGGGTGTGAAAGGGCTTGTGTCTGGTAAAGCGGCGGGAACTCTGTGGGTTGGCACGGATGTGCTGCGGGTTGCTGGTTGGAAGATGGTGCCAAAACAGCTGATTTAATGTGAGTGGGCCACCTCCTAGCAATGTGAACGTGGGCAAGTTCAGTTCTTCAAGTTCCTTATTTGTAAAACAGAGCTCGAAAATTCTATTGCTAGCTCTTGAGGGTTTCAGAGAACTTGGATGGCAGGGGAGACATCCTTAAATAATACTCCAGTTTTGTCATCAAAGAGGAGCGTGAAAGGGTCTTCTAGGGTTCTGCGACAAAGTCCAAAGCATCTGAAAGCTTCTCTCTTATCTTAATGCAAACTTTGCATTTGACCCACTAAAATGTCTGTTTTCTAAAAACCATCCCAATAAAATCGACATGCCAGGAAGAGGTTTGCTGATTAAGATCTTGGAATCTGAAGTCAAACTGATGAATTCTCTTAAACAAATGATTCATCCTCTCAGAGCCTCAGTTTCCTTATGTGTAAAGTGGGAATAATATATAGTACCTGTTCTCACAGAGTAGTTGTGAGAATTAAATGAGGTGATGCTTGTAAATCACCTAGCACACGGTTTGACTTGTAGTGAATGTTCAAAGAAAATATTATATTATTATCCTTATTAAAATAACTCAGAATAAATGGATCAAAGCAGAGTTATACTAAGTCATCTCCTTTAGTGGTCAGGAATTCGTTTGAGAATCTGGTGAAAACTTTGGGCCATGTGCAGGATTCGGATTTTATGGAAAAAAGAAAAAAACAACTGTGGGCCTCTCTCCTGAGGAAAACATACCAAGTTTCACTTATTAAAGTCTTTGAAGAATGTATGAAGAAATGATTGGATGAACGCGTTAGGATGGGGATGAATCTAGCTGAAGCCATCCTGGTTTCCCCCTTCTTGATGTGGCCCCAGTCCTTGGGTCCCATAGTCTTCCTTCCCCAGTATGCATGAGACAGAGGTGGAGTGAAGATCAGCTTTATTATTGGCATGAAGGCAGGGAGGTGGTGATAGTGCCAGGCCCTCTGCAGGCAAGGAGGCGGAGGGCTTATCAGCCAGCATCGATCCTCCAAGTTGGTCCTCCCAGTGAGGTCCAGGGTTCCAGGTGCCTCTGGCTTAAAGCAGAAGCAGTGGGTGAGCAGACGAGCAGACTGTGAGGCATTGGATATGTGGAATCCTCAGGGCTGCTCTGGAGCTGGGGTCGGGCTGGGGTTGGCAGGGGGTGGGGGCCGAGGCTGGATGTCTCTGGTGCGCATATAGGACAGCAGCTGCTCCGGGATCTCGGCCAGCACATCCTTGGCCAGTCGGGCCATGCTCAACACCTGGTTCCCCGACCGGTCAACATAGTCTCGGAATGGGACGAACTGGGTCAGGCACAGACAAGAAGAGAGAAGCCATGACCAGGAGAGAGGGCATGGGGGTACAGCTGGGAGGCTTGTTTTTTGATCTCCAGCATCTCTTTCCAACTATCATAGTATCTCCCTCCCCACATCTTGAACAGTTTTGTACATTTGCTTTCTCTCCACCTACTTTTTTTTCCACCCTCAACCCACTCCAGTTTGGCTTCACACAGGCCATTGAAACTGCTCTTGCTGATGTCGTCAGTGGCCCTGTGTTTCTAAATCAGTCCAGTGAACAGTAATTTTTAGTCCTCATCTTGCTTGACTTCTCTTTAGCTTTCCATTACATTTGACCATAATTCTTCTGGACACATCCCACTCTTGACACCACACTTTTCTGGCTTCTTGCTTACCTTTCTTGAAGCTCCCCACTCCCACCACCATTCCTCTGGGTCTACCTGCTCTCTAAACCTGGTCCCTTCTCTCTCTCAGCTCTCTTCCTGGATGATTTCATACACTTCCATGACTTTAAAAATTGTTCCCTGGAAGGAAGTAGAGCAGGCCAGGAGGTAGGGAGGGAGACTGGAAAGGAGGGATCAGGGGAGAAAAGGGGCAGGGACCAGGGAGAAGGGATCCTGAGAACAGGAGGAGGCCAGAGAGATGGAGTTGGGGCAAGAAGGAGGAGGAGTCTGTGAGAAGGGGCTGGGAAGAGAGAGAGGCCTAGGAGATGGTCTTGGGGAGCGGAGAAGAAGAAATAAGGTATGGGGGGAGAGGGGCTGATAAGGGAGAAAAAAACAAAAGAAAATCTGTTTCCTAATGACTGCCAAATGTATATATCCATCCATGACCTCTTTTCAAAAAATTATGTTTTATTTTTATTTATTTTTTTTCTTTTGAGACGGAGTTTCACTCTTGTTGCCCAGGCTGGAGTGCAATGGTGCGATCTCGGCTCACCGCAACCTCCGCTTCCCCCCAGGTTCAAGTGATTCTCCTGCCTCAGCCTCCCGAGTAGCTGGGATTACAGACATGCACCACCACGCCCGGCTAATTTTGTATTTTTAGTAGAGACAAGGTTTCTCCATGTTGGTCAGGCTGGTTTCGAACTCCCAACCTCAGGTGGTCCACCTGCCTCAGCCTCCCAAAGTGCTGGGATTACAGCCCCCCTCACTCCCCATCATCATCTAATCATCAAGTCTTGTAACATTTTCTTCTTAAATATCTTTTGAACCTGCCACTTTCTCTCCCTCCCCACTGCTTCCAGCTAGATCTTTATCACCGCCCTCTACTACTTCAAAGGCTTCCTCACTAATGAGTCTACTTGCCTTTTCTCTTGCCCTCTTACTGTCCACCCACCATGCAGCAGCTAGAGAGATCCTTTTAAAAATGCCATCTCACTCCCCTATGTAAAATCCTTCAAGAGCTTTCCAATTCTTTTATAACAAACCCCCAAATTTTGCCTCCCTCCTCACACTCAGTATGATCCTGCTACCCTAGCTTCTGCATTTTTGTTGATTGGGCCAGTTCTTCTGGGCCTCAGAGCCTTCTCACATGCTGCTCCTCTCCCTGTAATGCTTATCACCTCCCTTTGGTCTCAGCAAGCTAAAGAACCGTTTCCTGACTACTGTACCTATGTTAGGTCCCTGTTACAGGCTCTCACAGTGGCATTTGCTATTCCTCTGGAGTACTTATCACAATCTAATGAGATATTTATTTGCGTGATTATTTATTGTTGGTTGCCTCCACTAGAGGGCAGGGGCCTTGGGGACCTCCCGACTTACACCATGGATGCACCAAGGCTGCAGCAACCTTCCTATTTATCAAAAAGGATGTATTCAATGAATGAGAAAGGATGAAAGAGTGATGGGGAAAAAAGTAGGAGACTGAGAAGGCAGTAAGTGTGAGTGGCTCCCAACTTAGCCTCTTCTTCTCACTGTGCCTCTCAGCTCCGCAACCTCTCCCAGGTCAGGTCTACCTGAACGATGTCCCGCTCTGCGTAGCGTCCTCTAGAGGACACGCGCACATCATCACCATCCAACTCTTCCATTGCTGCAGAAAAGACACCCCTCAGCTGATTGGCCTCTCCAGCCCCACCCCCATGTTGCCCCCTCCCTTTGAGCTCCCCTTTGGAGTCATCAGAAGAATGCCTAATGCTTGTGATCAAGTCCTACAGATATCAGGCTTTGTTATGGAGTTATTATTATTATTATTATGCCTCCCAGGCAGCCCGTCCTCCCAGGAACCCCAGGGGAAATATTAGTATCATCAGCCTTGATTCTGATAAGGAAACAGGTTCAGAGAAGGT